TGTGTGTGTGTGTGTGTGTGTGTGTGTGTGTGTGTGTGTGTGTGTGTGCTCTTGAGAGACAAAAGCTGGAACACTGCCTTCTTTTCAGGGCCGGTGTTGAAAATCATCCTGGCCGGAAACAGTGAGTGGTTGTGGAGTCTTTTATTACATGAAGTTATAGTTTGCAGCAAGAAATGGCTTTGAGAAGAGAAACGACAGAGATTCCTTCTGAGCTACCATATCCTGTGGCTTATTTTCAGTCTTCATAATCTTTTCCTTATTGTATATGACATGGATTGTTTGGATTGTTTTTTAATTGGAAATGGAAATAGGATATCCTTTGATCCTGCTAACAGCTCCTGTAGAGTTATTTCTCCTTGCCCTTATGGTATCTTATATTCGACCTTCACTCTGGCACTCACTTTGTTTCTCTTTTCTTCCAGCTTGTGGTGGAACCTTCCACATGGCTGAAGGCATCTTCAACAGCCCTGGCTACCCGGAAGTTTATCCCTCTAACGTGGAATGTGTCTGGAACATTGTCAGTTCCCCTGGCAACCGGCTCCAGCTGTCTTTTATGTAAATCCCTTTTTTTTTTTATGGTGTATTGTTTCAGTGTGAATAAATCTGCAGGAAGGAAGCACGATTACTAATAGAATGGACAACTAATAGCATGTGTCCAAGCAACTGTTAGAGGACATGGTGGGAACTTTAAGAAGACTGTTTCCAAATTTCCTCTGTTTAGTCATAGTTTGGGTTATAAATGGTATTAAAATTCTTGAGAATGGTTCTAGAACGCTGCCCAACATTCTGAGAAAGATATGCCTAAACTCTTAGTGCATTAATTTGTGGAATGTCTATTTTCAGAGAACAGTAACTGTATCTTTTTCTGAATCAGACACATTTAGAATCTTCCAGAGAAGTACTAACCTTCTTTCTTCCAGCAGGAATCCCCATCACAATCAAGCCTTCCTTACCCCGTATACCATGTCCCTACCCCAATCCACCTTACCCTTCTAGTCCATCCAGAAGAATAATTTTGGAAGCTTTTAGGAACTTAGTGGTTGGTTTGTAAAATCATTGGCATGTTCCTCATTAAACTATGGATATGGAATGAATAGTAGGATCCTGCCACATTCAGAGTGGTCTTAGATTACACTCAATAGCAATAATGTGCTTTTCCTAGAAGTAGATAGTGAAAAGCACATGGTAAGAGACATGAGACTTTTTCATCCATCAGTAGACATGTACCTGTGACATGCCAAAGCAGTGGTAGACAAACACCACTTAACAAACACCGAGCGAAAAGATTTCAGTGTTTACATTGCCGCTTTAAATGAAAAGTTATTTGTTATATCGTATTCCACATTATTGGGCATCGTTTGGGATTGCTAACTCCGTTTTTGAAGAGAATACAACAATTTCGCGTAGAGAGCAGAGGATTGTTCTGAGGACACCGGCCTGTTTATTCAAAAGTCTTGTCCCTTGTCCTCGAGGAGCCGTACTGGGCATCAAGAAAGGATTTAAATGAAAGAACAGTCCCATTTGTGGGCCATGTTCAGACATCTGAAGTTGCTTTCTTTCAGTCCATCAATCAGACAGTGCTCTTCAGGGAACAAGTGGCATTGTGTTAAAACAAAGACACCCGCTGAGTGCCTGAAAGGCAAAGCAAGGTTAAGCTGCCACATGGGAAAGAAGTTTTTGTTTGCTTTTGTCTTTGCTAAAAGCTCAAAGTTGTTTGTTGGGGGGAGGGGGGGTGCGGGAATCTCTCTCTCTAATTTTTACCTGATACATATGTCTTCCTTTCTTCAACAAATATGTGTAAGCCCCTACTGCGTGCTCACATAGTTAGCACATGTTACTCCCATGCCCAATGCTTTATACAATGATGAATAAAACATGATTATTGTTCTTGTGATAAAACCCAAAGTCCTTCCCATGGCTTATGAGGCCTCATAAGTGCCAAATGAATGGGCTTCTTTTTTGGTCTTTTTCCTTTTTATTTATTTATTTATTTATTTATTTATTTATTTTTTAATTTTTTTTTTTCAACGTTTATTTATTTTTGGGACAGAAAGAGACAGAGCATGAACGGGGGAGGGGCAGAGAGAGAGGGAGACACAGAATCGGAAACAGGCTCCAGGCTCTGAGCCATCAGCCCAGAGCCTGACGCGGGGCTCGAACTCACGGACCGCGAGATCGTGACCTGGCTGAAGTCGGACGCTTAACCGACTGCGCCACCCAGGCGCCCCTGGTCTTTTTCCTTTTAGTCTCTCCCATACTCACATTATTGACTACTCTGACATTCCGTGGGTGCCAGGAATGGGCCAGGTAAGGGAATGTTTAAGATAGACATCCTATTTCTTGATGAGTTACTAATAAATTCAGGCCAAGAAGTTATTTATTTAAACCTAAAGAGATCCATTCCATCTACAGGGCCACCGTTAAAGATGTCAAATGTCAAATGCATAGCACAAGGCTGATGCATACCAGATGCTCAGCACATGTTAAGTGATCTCACTCTGCCTTTTCTAAAATACCTTGTGTGGCATTTCACAGTTAAGTAAGAAGGGCGATGCTGAGCTCTTTCTAGAAGATAGGAGATAAACACAAAATGCTGGTTCATCCATTTCACTAAATCCCAGTTATCATATAGGCAAATCTTAACGACTCAGCCTTTTCCTTTCTCATCCATAAGAAGTTAATTTTGGTTATTTTGTGTTACTTGCTTGAGTTTTCTTTGTAAAACAAATTTTGTAGAATGCAAGATGTTCCTCTTTATGTAGAGGATAATGAGAAGGGCTTTATGGCAAGGCCTGTGAGTTATTTCTGCCCTGGTCTAAACTGTATCCAGATGGGTGCTTGGAAACATTCCCTGGGGTTGTGTGAGAAGCATATGGAATACGTCAAGTTCAAAACCATGGGGTTTGGATTGTGGACCCTGTGGTGAAATTGAATAGGGAGAGAAACCGGAGAAATTATGGTTGAATCTGTAACGAAAAGGAGGAGGGAGAAATAGAATCTAAAAAGGAGTTTTTTGTAAAACAGATATTTAAAGGAATTAACAGAAAATATATTTTATGCTTGCAGAGTACTTTTAGAAAGTGACTGATCTTGGTTCAAGAATCAAAATGGGATAATGAGAAACAGCGATTGTACTATTTTTGTTCCACATCATATTTTTACTAACAGATTTCAGCCAAAGTATTTGGAAAGAGGGTAGATTTGCTTATAAAATGTACCGGCCTAAAACAAAGACTTCCAAGAAAACAATAAGCTTTTTTAGAAGTTTAATTTGACTCTTGTAGGCATCATCCTGCCATCATTTCTGATCAAATGTCTTTTCTGTAATTTGGCACTGATGGCACCAGTATGGCACTCAAACAGAAAAGACCTGCACTTAGTAATCCCCTGGACCATTGGACCTTACTGAAATGTACACACCAGTCACCTGGGATCTTGCGAAAATCCACATTCTGATTTAGTTGGTTGGTGGGTTCCGATTCTTCATTTCAGCAAGTTCTCAGGCAGTGCGGGTGCTGCTGGACCACACGTTGCCTTTAGTAGAAAGGTTTAGATTCAATTTCATGTAAACCACCTGCTGAGGAAAATGATCTCTTTCTTCTCTTCTTACTTTCGGGGAAGCAAACCCAAAACCAAACAGTTTTAGCATATTTCACATTGTTGATGATATTACGGGTAATAACACTGAGCTTGAATTTAAGTGCTAAACATGGCAGTCATCCTAAAGATGGATTCAGAATGATTCCTTGCCAGAAATGATTGTAGATAGACGCTTTGTATTACAAAGAATGAATTGTCAAGCAAGACAGTGGGCCTAAGGGCAAATGTGGAGTTGGGTTAGCTTGATGTGGATTTTGCTTGATTTCTTCTGCTATTCAGTGACGGGTCATAGCTTGCTGCTAAACCTGTGTCTAGAATATAGATACAGATGATCTGTATTGTAGTACCTCACCTTGGTAGGATCGTGAGAGCGACAGCTTCACTGTTGGTCTGGCTAGAGACCTACCAATGCTAGCATCTGGCTTGAGAAGCAGTGGTAGAGCAAATCTGACTTCTTTGTCCCAGCATCCTGGTAGCGAATGCTCAGAGGTGTGCCTGATACACTGGTCCCATAGAAGGGCTTGAGGCGCCCAGAACCTCCAGGCTGGTTATCTGTCACTCTAATCCATTAGCTGAGATAGAGTCCCAGGAGAACCCTCTACTTACCATCATGTGAAATCTTGCAACACAAAATGTTGAGTGTTGACTGAAAAGTACACACAATAGAGAAAGAAGTTTTCTATTCTTGTGACTTCCCCCCCCCCCCCCCCCCGCCCCCTTTCTGGCAGTTTCTCCTCTATAGTCTTTCCAGGTCGTTCTTTCTCCTTTTTATCTTGTCTTTCCTCTTCTCAGGAAAAACTCCTTCCAATTACTTCTGGAAAAAGAATAGTTTGCACGCACTTTCTCTACAGTTTTTAACCGTTACTTTTTTTCTTTAAAAATTAATTTTAAATAAATAAAATGTTGCAGGGTAGCAAAAGTCCCCCTGACTTACTCATCATGGAGTTACCCTGTATCTTGAATTGCATATGTATTACTTTCATGCGTGTTTTTATAATTTTATAGCTTTGCTTTTCTATATATACTAAATTACATATGTATAATATGAGTAGCATGTATAAATCTCCATACACACTACATAGTATTGCTTTCTGTTTTATGTTTTATAGAAATGGAATCCTACTTGTTGATTGGACTGGAATTACACTGAATTTATACATTAATTTTCGGGAGTATCTTTATTGACTCTTCATATTCTTGAATTTGGAATATCTCTGCATTTATTGTGTTCTTCTTTTACGTTCTTTGTTAAACTCTCACATTTTTAAAAATAGAGCTCTTATGGCTAGACACCTTTTTTTTGGCTGCTGCTACTGCAAAGGGAATCCAGTTAAAATTTACAGACATAACCTGGCCACTTTACCAAACATAACACCTCAAATTAATTTTTCCTCCTAGAATTGTTCACTACCTCATTATATGTCTACTTATTTATTAGCTATCTCTCCTTCTTGAATACAAGCTCCCAAAAGGGCGGAAAATTCTCTATGTTCTTCACTGTCCTACCCCACAATGTCTGGCAACATGGAAGACGGTAAAAATTGTTGAGTGGGTGTTAACTAAGTTACAGGTTTTAGATTTTTGGTTGCTGGTATAAGGAATCCCTACTGATTTCTGTATGTCTTATCCAGCCACCATTGTATTCTCTAGAATAACACAGATTTTCTTCTTTCTTTTCTACTGCTGTATTTTTAGTGCCGAGAAGAAGACCTCACACATTAAGGTGCACAATAAGTATTTATCAGTGAATGAGCTCTCCTAAATATTAACTTATAGCTCTTCTTTTCCAATCCTTACAACCTTTCCCCCGTTTCCTTGTCTTGTCTCTCTGGAAAACACTGTAGTGTAATGAGGAACAAAGTGATGAGAGCAGGCTCCCTTGTGTTGTTTCTGATTCGAAGGAAATGCTTTGAAATTTTTACTTCTAAGTATATTTGCTGCAGGCATTGGTAGACGTTTGTCATCCCATTTGGAAAATTTCCTTCTATTCCTAATTTTCTGAGTATTTATGATGAGTGGGTGTTGAGTTTTATCCAATGTTTTCCTGCAATTGTCATGGGTTCTCTCTTAGTATATTTTGCATCTATCTTTGTCTGTTAAGTGTGTGTGCGTGTGTGCATGTGTGTGTGTGTTTGTGTGGTGTGAATTTTCTTATAGACCTTCTAATCTTTTTAAAAAGTTGTTTAAAGTTTTATTTATTTATTTATTTATTTATTTTTAATGTTCATTTATTTTTGGGAGAGAAACAGAGCATGAGTGGAGGAGGGGCAGACAGAGAGGGAGACACAGAATCCGAAGTAGGCTGCAGACTCTGAGCTGTCAGCACAGAGCCCGACGTGGGGCTCGAACTCACAGACTGTGAGATCATGACCTGAGCTGAAGTCGGCCGCTTAACCGACTGAACCACTCAGGTGCCCCTTATTTATTTATTTTTAGAGAGACAGAGAGAGAGAGAGAGAGAGAGAGAGAGAGAGAGAGAGCGAATGAGCAGAGGCAAGGCAGAGAAAGGGAGAGAGAGAATCCCAAGCAGGCTCCATACTTTTGGTGCAGAGCCTGACACAGCTCGAACTCACAAACCGTGAGATCATGACCTGAGCCGAAATCAAGAGTTGAACACTTAACCAACTGAGCCACCCAGGCACCCCTAGGTCTTCTAATCTTAAAGCATTATTAGTCCAACTTGATTAGATTTATATATTTTACAAACTGATGGATCCATGCTGCTTATATTTTATTTAGGATTTTTCATCTATATTGTTAAGTGAGGTTGACCTATACTTTTCTTTCTTTGGCTTCCCTTGACTGGTTTTGTTCTCAAGATTATACTAACCTTGAAATGTTGGAGACTCCTTTCTATGCGTTGTTACAGTTTGCATAACATTGAGGTTGGGCTATTGATTTCATTGAAGCTTTGAAATTCCCCCAGAAAATCATCTGGGCACAGGTTTCTGTTTTGTGTCATCTGTGGGCAACTTTAAATACTGATTTTTTTTTTAGGTGTTTCTTTTCTTTGTTTTTGTTTTTGTTTTCTTCAGCTTATTGTATTCAGTGACATAAGATACATTTACAATTCTGTGCAATCATCACTATCATCCTTTTCTGAGACTTTTCCATCATACTAAACAAACTCTATACTCCTTAAACATAACTCCCTGTCCCCAACCGTCAGTAAACTATTCTACTTCCTGAATCTACAAATTTCTCTATTCTAGTTTTCACATTTACGTAGAATCATACATGTCCTTTTGTGTCTGGCTTATTTCACTGAGCATAATGTTTTTAGTGTTCATGTATGTTGCAGCATGTATCAAAATTTCATTCTGCTTCAAGGCTGAATAATCCAGTGTGTGTATAAAATGTGATTTTATATATAGATAGATAAATGCATAGCTGTATATTTTGTTTATCAACATTATATATATATCAAATTATATATAACTATGTGTAATTTTATCTATATATAATATAGATAATTATATAACTATATATAGCTTTGTTTGTCCAGTCATTTGTTTATACATTTTTGTTTATCTGTTTTGTTTCTCCATTCATCTACTGATGGACATTTGAGTTGTTTCCAGCTTTTGACTATTGTGAATAATGCTTTTATAAATACTGATATACAAATGTTTGTTTCAGCCTGTGCTTTTAATTTCTTTGGGTATATACCTAAAAGTAGAATTTGGTACATACCTAAAAGTAGAATATGGTAATTCCATGCTTAACTTTTTGAAGAATCGCCAAATTGTTTTCTACAGTGGCTGCTCTATTTTACATTCCTACAATGCCTGAGAGTTCCAATTTCTCAACATCCTCATCACCATTTGTTATTTTCCATTTTTTAAATAATAGCCATCCTAATGGGGGTGAAGTGTTACCTTATTGTGGTCTCCCTTTGCATTTCTCTAATAATTACTGACTGAGCATTTTTTCATGTTCTTATTGGCCATTCATAATGTATCTTCTTTGGGGCACTGCATTTTCAGTTCTTTTGCTATTACTTGAGTTGTCTTTTTATTTTTGAGTTGTAAGAGATCTTTTATATTCAGGATACTAGTATGCTCTTGCATTTTTTATTTCTCTTGGGTAAATATCTTGGAGAGGAAGTTCTGGGGCATTAACTGGATGTATATTTAGTATTACAAGAAACTGCCAAATAATTATTCAGAGTGGTTCTATCAGTATACATTCCCACCAGAAACACATTGGACTTCCGGTTGCTGTATATGCTTGCCCACATTTGATCTTGTCAGTCTTTTCTAGTTTAGCCATTCTGATGGGTATAAAATGATAGCTTACTGTGATATTTAATTTACACTGTTCTGGTGACTAATGACATCGAGTATTTTGGACATTCTCATTGGCTATTCACTCAACTTTTGTTGAAGTGTCTGTTCAAATCTCTCGTCATTTTTAACTTGGTGATTTGTTTTTTTCATGTTTTTTTTTTTTTTGGTAGGAATTCCTTTTATATTCCAGAGATGAGTCCCTTGTTAGATATATGTTTTGTAATGATCTCTTCTTCCCCCTGCACAGTCTGTAACCTGGCTATTCATTTTCTTAGTCATGTCTTTAATGAGAAATTTTAATTTTTGATGAAGTCAAATTATTAATTTTTTAAATCCTATGGTTAATGCCTTTTGCATTATATCTAAGGAATATATGCTTTCCCCAAGGTGGTAAAGATATTCTCTGTTTTATTCTAGGAGCCTTATGGTTCTAGCTTTCATGTGTATATCTAGGAGGAATATTAAATTACTTTCTGTGTGTGGAGAGAAGTAGAGGTTGAGGATTTTTTGTCTTTTCTTCCCTCTATAAGGATATTCAGTAATTGAAACACCACGTGTTAAAATGACTTTCTTTTCCCCATTGAATTATGTTGGCAGCATGGATTGGGCTGTATTGGTGGGTTCTTCTCTGGACTTTCTCTTTTGTTCCATTCATCTCTTTGTCTACCCTTGCACTAATACCGCACTATCTTGATTTTTAACAATTTTTTAAAGTGTATTTATTTTGAGAGAGAGAAAGAGAGAGAGAGAGAGAGAGAGAGAGAGAGAGAGAGAGAGAGAGATGAGCATAAGCAGGGTAGGGGCAGAGAGGAGAGACAGAATCCCAAACAAGCTCTGTGCCATCAGTGCAGAGCCCAAACGCATGGCTCAGACTCATGAACTGTGAGATCATGCCCTGAGCCGAGATCAAGAATTGGGTGCTTAACTGACTGCACCCCACAGGCGCCCCTCACACCGTCTTGATTATGTCCAAGTTTATAAAGCACTAAAGCTACATTCTGAAAGCATTCATTTAACACTTACATGTTCCAGACTCTATATGTTATCTGTGGCAATCATTGAGTAGATGTTGTTTCCTATCTTTCATTCTCCCATGTCATCATAACTGCAGATTATAATACAAGTTGAAGAGGCCGTATTTCCAAACTCTAGCCTATATTGTTACAAATCCCATATTTCGCCTGCCTTTTCAGAAATTAAGTACAGATGCCTTTGTCACTTAAGCTCTGGCAAAATTAGCCCATGATACTGCTTGAGCTGTGTCTCCTAACAAGTACTCAATGTTCTAACCAAACTAGAACTCTCACAGATTTCTAAATAAGCCTCACCCTTTTTCTGTGTATGTGCTCTTATCGACATACGTTTTGTGCTCACCATTTCTGTACCTTAAATCCAGCTAATGTTTATATTTCCATCCCAGAAACAATCTCTCTGTTAAGCTGTGACTGAGCCTCACAATCCGATGTGATACGTCTGCCTCCAAATCTTCGAACACTTCTAGCTCCGAGGGCACTTTATGATATTCTACCTTATAATGTGTCTTTTCCTGTATTCTTGCCCAATCTTTCCCCCTAGAAAGAAAAGTCCTTGAAGGCCATGTATTAATTGCCTTTGTATCTCTGCAACAGGCATTTCAGCAAATTTGGGGGAAAGAAATTTTTGGAGTTGGCTCAAAGATAACGTGATTAAAGTTAAAGTTTTATAAAGAACAGTTATAAAGAAACCAGCAGGTGTTTCGGGATAATCTCAAAGCTTATTCTTTCAATTTAATCCTCCAAAACTCTCTCTCTCTCTCTCTCTCTCTCTCTCTCTCTCTCTCTCTCTCTCTTTTCAAATTAGAACTTTCCAGTTGGAGGATTCTCAGGACTGTAACAGGGATTTTGTGGAGATCCGCGAAGGAAACGCCACTGGTACTTTGGTGGGGCGATATTGTGGAAATGTCCTCCCCCTCAATTATTCATCCATTGTTGGGCACAGACTGTGGATCCGATTTGTCTCCGATGGCTCAGGCAGTGGCATAGGCTTCCAAGCCACATTTACTAACAGTAAGTTGCTTCTATTTCATCGATGGTTTCCAGAGAACATCCTACAAACTAGAAAGGATAACACATTTTTTAGTAATGCAGTAAGTGAAGAATCCTGAACTCTATTCTCCTAGATCTGTTGTATTTGTGGAATTACTTCATTTTAAACTATATTATAAAAACTAAATTACATGTGCATGGCCCACCAGGAGCAAGGGAGAGTGGCTCTAGTAATCGTTTTAAGCTCATTTCTACCTAATGTTATATTAAACTTTTTACATGATATTTTGTTAGAACCTTCTAACGTATTTAGTTCAGGTTGAGCATATTGATACCAAGGGTATTTCGTTTGAAGTCACAAACTCTCTATTCTTCAAATTCAAAACACTGAGTATATTTTAGGATTGAATTAAGTGCTCAGATATTATAACAACAGGGTTTTCTTCTAATAGAATAAAATGTTAATATTTTTATTTTCTAACTTGACTTTTCCATAATTAGCTATTTTTCATGGCATTCCAATATGTCTGTTTCTCATACCAAAAATTTGAAAACAGTCCCATTCTTTAGTAAAAAGGAAAATAGGTAAACAAAATAGAGAATGAGCCTGGTAATACCCCTTCACTTGTCATCAGGTCTCCTGGGGTCTGGGAACCCCTTTTCACATGAGAAGTTATCTCCTCTTTTCACACCATGCCACCTTCTTAGGAGATGAAATTCCATTCACAAAATCACGGTTCTCCAAGGAATTAGTAGATAGTACAGAAATCAAAAGGGAAGCAATATTTCTTTCAGTGTTCAGAATAGAAATCACAGCCAATTAAAAGTCCATCCTTTTCAACACCCCTTGCCTTTTGTTTCTTTCATTTGATTAAAGAGCTATTCTAAGTACTTCTGATTTACTGCTCTGTTTTCCCTCCTAGTATTTGGCAATGATAATATTGTGGGAACTCATGGGAAAGTCGCCTCTCCCTTATGGCCTGGACATTACCCCCACAACTCTGATTACCAATGGATAGTAAATGTGGATGCGTCTCAAGTTATCCATGGTAGAATCTTGGAGATAGACATTGAAGCAACTCAAAACTGCTATTATGACAAATTAAGGGTGAGTATCCAAGGGCAATCAGTGTTCGTAAATTTTGGTGAATTTCTATTTGCAAAAACAGATCAAGTTAATGTCAGTTGAAGCATTTGTAAATCACATGGGGTGGCCTCCCTAGATCATGATTACCTCTTCTAGATTACCTATGAAAAGGTAATTCTGTCATTATATTTATTTTCTTTGGATTCTCTAAGTTTTATTTTTAGCATTATTGTAATTTACCTCTTGGGCTTTGTCTATGTGTATATGTATATCTTAGTTAAGTATCCTCTCTCATATCTCATTTTCTTGTGTATTCTTATGTTAGAGTGTTAAAAGTTTGAAGGATCATTTTTAAATAAATAAATATAAAATTGTGGTGGTTATTGCCATCCAGATTTTGGTTACTGCATCAGTTTCAAAAACACTGTCACATTCTTTTTTTCTTTTTTTAGCTTTATTCGGGTATATTCGACAAATAAATATTGGGTATATTTAAGATGTACAACTTGATATTGTAACCTATGTACACATTGTGAAATAATTGTTACAGTCAAGCTAATTAATACTTGTATCACCTTGCATGGTTATCATTTGGATTTTGTGTGCGTATATGTCTGTGTGTGTGAAAGAGGATATTTAAGATGTACCCTCTTAGCAAATGTCAAGTATATAATACAGAAACAGTACGATATATTTCAGTATTAACTGTAGTCACATTGCTGCACATTAGATCTCCAGAATTATTCATCTTGCATAACTGAAACTTTGTAACCTGTGACCAACATTTCCCCATTTCCCTCTCTCCCCACCCCTGGAAACCATCACTCTACTTTCTCCTTCTATGAGTTTAACTATGTTATCAGATTCTCAAAGGCCAGGATTCCATTTTATTCATCTTGGGTCTGCAGGGCCTCACATAGAGTTCGGTACCTAAGGTGCTTCGTATGTGTGGAAATCATTATTACATAGTTTGAAAAACAGCTTATCTCCTAGCTTCGGCAGAGAAATTTATAACAATTTCAATGAACTTGTTCCAAATTATTTACAAAATGAAGTAAAGGATAGGAAATATGGTTGGATGGCATTTTTCCACATGTGCCGAAAAAAAACAATGTGTTCCATGCTATGTGTTTGTAACTATAAAAATATGTCTCTAAACAGGTAACTTCATATTTTCAACCAAATGAAAAAAAAATTGAGTGATTTGAATGTGTGTTGAGCCCTCACAAGCTGTCACTCTTTTGTTGTCATTAATTCTACTTTCCGATACCTGTCTGTTTAAACCTTTCCTTCTTCTTGTTGCTTTTTCTGTTACTTTCTAATTCCTTCCTTTGAGGCCCCAAAGCACATTCAAAAAGTTCTATTGTTGTACAACTATCTTGATTCCTAATTTTCCACCCCTACATTTTACTGTAGATCAAATAATGAGCTATTTTGCATACAGTTTATGTATTAATATAATTCTGCAGCAAAGATGAAATTATTTTAAAACACCTTAAAATTTTTTGCAGTCATATTTTATATTCAATGGTGCTTTCTATTTCAACTGACATATGGTGTTTACTTGTTTATTTTTTTCATTATGATGAAATTATAATAACATAAGGCAACCTTTTAGTTTTCTTTTTTATGAAGAAAAATAGAGGTAATTACTTGAATTCAGTGCTGTGTTATCTTTTTTTTTTTTTTTTTTTACATGCAGATTTACGACGGGCTTGGTGTTCATTCCCGCCTCATTGGAACTTACTGTGGTACCCAGACCAAATCTTTTAGCTCCTCTAGAAATTCCTTGACATTTCAGTTTTCTTCTGACTCTTCAATCTCAGGGAAAGGATTCCTTCTGGAGTGGTTTGCAATGAATGTCTCTGTTGGACCTTCCCCTACAATTGCTCCAGGTATGTCTTACCAAACAGTAATAAATGAAATTCTGTTTTTGGGTTTCACTGCATGGGCCTTCCCAGAATAGGTTACAAAGGGCCTTCCCTTAATAGGTGGCAAATATGTAAATTACTAAGAATAAGTGCAGCCCTAAAACCTTCCATATATATCAGGTGTTCTTTTAATTTCATAAATACTGCCTTTTGTAAAAACTGTACATTTGTGGTTTTTTTATATTTTCCCCATTATATTTTTTATATTAATTAGGGGTTTGATATCCATGAGGCATTCTACTTATAACTTCTAGAGACTCCTTTAGAGATCTCTGAAAATTTGATTTGTAAATGCTCTGCATGCACACACACACACACACACACACACACGCGTGCGCGCACACACACACACACACAATATTATGGGTCAACTAGAAGACAGAAGTAACTGTTTTTCCTCTAGATTTAACTTTTTTTAAGTTTTTAAAAAAATGTTTATTTTTATTTTTGAGAGAGTGAGTGAGTGGGGGAGGGGCAGAGAGATTTGAAGCAGGCTCTGTGCTGAAAGCCGAGGGCCCGATGCAGGGCTGGAACTCACAAACCATGAGATCATGACCTGAGCTGAAGTGGGAAGCTCAACCAATTGAGCCACCCAGGCACCCCTTTTCTAGATTTCGTTTTAAATGTGCCTTCAGAAATGCTTCACTTTCTCCTTAGTTGGTCATAAACCTTCATGTTTTAAGGTAAAATTAGCCTAATTGTTAAACTTTTATTTGACTATGTTTAAGACATCCTTAATTCCCTTGGTAAGCAGTGTTTGGGGAGACTGATTTTTCCTTAAAATTTTATTTAAACAATTTTGAATGGCTTTTATGGGTTGTCATAGAAGTCTGACAGCCCAGTTTGGGGGATATTGCCAACCTTGGTATACAGTTGACCCTTGAACAACACAAGTTTGAAATGAAGGCGATTGAAAAAATCTTATATGAGAATTTTTTCTATAAACACAGTTCAGTACTGTAAATATGTTTTCTTTTCCTTATTTAAAAAATTTTTTTAACATTTACTTATTTTTGAGAGAAAGAGAAAGAGAGACACAGTGTGAGCTGGTGTGGAGCAGAGAGAGAGGGAGACACAGCATCTGAAGCAGGCTCCAGGCTCTGAGCTGTCAGCACAGAGCCGGATGTGGGGCTCGAACTTGCGAACCATGAGATCATGACCTGAGCTGAAGTCAGACGCTTAACCGAATGAGCCACCCAGGCGCCCCTCTTTTCCTTACAATTTTCTCAGCATTTTCTTTTCTCTAGCTAGCTTACTTTATTATAAGACTATAGCATGTAATACATGTAACATACAAAATATGTGTTAATTGACTGTTATCTGTAAGACTTCTGGTCAATGGTAGACAATTAGTAATAAAGTTCTGGGGGAGTCAAAAGTTACATGGATTTTGGGGGAACCTGCTGGCTCAGTCAGTAGAGCATGAGGCTCTTAATTGCAGTGTCGTGAGCTTGAGCCTATGCTGGGCACATGGGCTACTTAAAGTCATGTGGATTTTTTACTGTGTTGGGGGTTGACACCCCTAAGCCCTGCACTGCTCAAGGATCAGCTGTACTTGATTGAGACACATTATCATAGGTTCTCATTGAAGAATATTCAAACTCTGAACTTGTTCTAAGACTAAATATATCCTAAAAGATTAGAGTCTATTTGCTTCTAACTTCTTGGGAATTTGTATTGGTAGAGGTAACTGATAAATGTATCATTCATACTTGTTTTCATTTAATGCACCTGGAGTATTCTGTTCTGAGATGTTTTTTCCACCCCCCCCCCCCGCCTTACAAGATGTTTCCATAAAATTGAATATGAATCTCTTTCTTAAAATATTAATCTACTTATCTAAGAGCAAAGAACCATCAGCAAGATTGCCAAATGCAATTTGAAGCTATCCATTTAATTCTGGATAGCTCTTCTAAGTAAACTTGAATTAAGCTTTTTTTATAGCCACAAATCTCAAGTTAGAGAAAAAATCACTTACTCATGGAAAATATTATATCAACAAATATAATTCAGTACTCAAAAATGACAAATTTTCTTCTCATACTTAAGCTCTGTAATTAGATGAGTTAAGTGGATGAGTGATTATATCGTAAATTTCATTTTCCTTGAGAACAAGGGAAGGTGAAAGTAAGAAGATAAGAGAATTTTATAATTTACTAGTTACCTAGATGATAGGGTGGCATTGCATTCTGAAAGATTCATCAAAACTAAAAAAAATTTTAAAAGCTTAACATTTTAAAATATATTTATATATTGCACATTGTACCATCAGCATTTCTTACACATGCATATGTTTAGTTTAATTCAATAAATATTTATTGAGGATTTGCTATAGATACACCGAGACAATTAAGTAAAGGGACAAAGATCTGATCTCAACTCTCCAGGAGCTTAAAAATAGTTGGGAAAGACAAAGTATTCATATGTCAGTCAAATACCAATTTAGTAATTAAATTATTTAATGACAAGGCATGTGGTACAGGCAGAAGAAAAGAAAGCAAAGGAAACTGAGCTTAATGTGGATGAGGATCATTTGAAGGAAATTAAACACATCGAGTAGGAAAAGATTAGTCAGCATATCAGTCAGGACATGATCAGTTATGCTGCGATAGCAAACAATTCCAAACTCTGAGTTGCTGAAAAATCATAAAGTTTCTTTCTGGTTTGTGTTACATATTCTTCTTGGATTAACTAAGTGCCTTGTCATCAGTATCACTGCATAGCCCAGGCTGTTGGAGCTGACATTGTTTGGGACATTGACTGTGATCATGGCCAGAGGAAGGAGAGCTCTGGCATGTCTCAGTACAAAAGTGCTCAGCTTAAAAGTGACAAAATTATTTTGCTCATAATTCATTGGCTCAAACTGGTCAAATGACCTCACTCAACCACAAAAGGATCAAGAATTGCAATGTCAGCATGTGTTTATAAATGAGGGAAAATGAATATTTGACCAAAAAGAATAATGACCCCAAGTCGGTTAGTTTGATAACTGCCGTTTATAAATTCAAGGTAAGAAATATTTTACATAAAGGAAAATCTTAACATTTGAAGACCCTGAGTAATATTAAAGTCTTCCACTTGAAAATTTCTTTCATTTGTCTCTTTTTTTCTTTACTTCTGTAGCCTGTGTAGAAATAGGACAAGAATTAGGACCTAGTCCCATAAAAGTTTACACTCACTTCCTGGTGGTCCTAGTAAGATTCAAACATGTACTGGTATAAAAGTCAGAAACCTCTGGAATGGTGGGGTGAGGACCTCTGAAAAAGCATTCCTGCAGGAAAACAATGAGAACATTGTCAAAATTGTCAAGATCAGCTTTTGAGAACCCTGGAAATTCATCAAAGCTCGCAACAATCTAAAGAGTGTTTATTCAAGAATGATGGCTGAATCTCAGAAAAATAGTCAGCTTTCTGGCATCTTAATTCTCCCTATTTCCATCTCTCCCCTTGCCTCAGCTTTGCAGTTGCCTTGCAGAATCCTCAACTAGAGTAGCTGCGAAACCAGTAGTTGAGTGCCTACTGGAAGGGGTAGAACAGGTGGAGAGCTACAGAAAACCTCCTATTCCTAAGGAATTACCATTATTTGACCTATCTGGCAGCTTCCTAGGAAAGCTCCATTCTCAGGACTTGTCTTCATTTGCTCTGCCTCAGCGGTTGCTCTGTGCCCATAGCCCTATCCCCAGGGTATTTGTAGAAAACAGTCAGTGGCGACTGTTTAACATCACAGTTATATGTGGCAGTAATACCAGGTGCAGCTAACAAGAGGGTGAATAAAACTGTAAAAGGAAAATCCTGGGGAATGAGATACCCATAGGGAGCTTTGGAAAACTCTGACATATTTCTGGAAATTTAGAAAGCCACACACAGGTGCAGGACTGTGCACATGTCCAAGAGAGGACGCGAGGGCCCTGATCTCTCAACTCTATGTGATCTTGAGGGTCTGTGTAAGCAGGGAGTGAAGACTGAGGCAGAGTTGTAAACTGCCTACTAGAGCTTTATAGGCATATCCCAACACATGTAGACTTTAAGTTAGCTATTATAAATGTGTTGAAAAGTTAAAAGGAACCACGTCTAAAGAATTGAAGGAAAATATGGGAATAATGTATCACCAGAGACTATCGAGAAAGTGATAGAAATTATGAAAAGAAAAAAACCAAATAGAAATGTCAGAATTGAAAAGTATAATAATTGAAATTCTCTGGATGGGCTCAATTACAGATTTGAGCACATAGAAGAAAGAATCAGCGAACGTGCAGATAGGTCAACTGAGATTGGCCTGTCCATGGGAAAGAAGGAAAAAGACTGAAAAAAATTGTACAGAGCCTCAGAAACTATCAATTATACTAACATATGTACAATGAAAGCCCCAGAAAAGGAGGGAGATAAAGGGGGACAAAGAATATTTGAATATAGTGTCCAAATACTTCCCAAATTTGATGAAAAATATTATTCTACACACCCAAGAATCCCAGTAAACTCCAAATAGGATAAGCTGTCTGAAATCTATACCTAGACAAGTCACCAACTATCAAAGCTGGAGAAAAAGGGATCATCTTCAAAGCACCAGGAAAAAGTGATCCATCATGTAAAAGGAGTCCTCACCTAGCTTCTCATCAGAAACCATGAAAGCCAGACAGCAGTGGAATGACATATTCAAAGTATTGAAATAAAAAGACTGTTGATTAAAAGTCAAAAGTCTATACCCAGCACATATGTCCTCCAAACTAAGGAGAAATTCAAAGACTCCAAGATAAATGAAAATGGAGAGAATTTATTGCGAGCAGATCTACTCTAAAAGAAATTCTAGTGGAAGGCCTTAGACTGAAATGAAAGTACCATAGCATGTCTTGACAACTAATAAATAGCATGCAGTAAGATAATGACATAAGTAAATATAAAGGCATTGTGAATGCATTTTTGTTTGTGATTCTCCCGCTCTCTGATTTAAAGACAGCTGCATCAAGCAATGACTATAAAACTGTGTTGATGGATTTGTAATGTTTAAATGTGTAATTTTTATGGCAAAAATAGCATCAAAGGATGGGGATGGAAATAGAATTTTATTGGAGCCAAGTTTTGTGTACCATTCAAATTAAATTAGTATTAACCCAAACTACATTGTTTCAAATTAAGATGTAAATTGTAACTACCAGAACAACCACTGAGAAAATAACTTAAAAATATACATAGTAGGGGTGCCTGAGTGGCTTAGTCAGTTGAGCATCTGACTCTTTTTTTTTTTTTTTTTTAATGTTTATTCACTTTTTTGAGAGACAGAGACAGAGTGTGAGCAGGGCAGGGGCAGAGAGAGAGAGGGAGACACAGAATCTGAAGCAAGCTCCAGGCTCTGCACTGTCAGCACACAGCCCAATGCGGGGCTCAAACTCATGAACCATGAGATCATGACCTGAACCAAAGTCGGACGCCCAACCAACTGAGCCACCCACGTGCCCCTGAGCATCTGACTCTTGATGTGGGCTCAGGTCATGATCTCACGGTCATGGGACCGAGTTCTGTGTCAGGCCACATGTGGAGCCTGGAGCCTGCTTAAGATTCTCTGCATTCTTCTCCTTTGCCCTTTCCCCACTTGCACGTGTTCTCTCTCTCTGTGTCTCTCAATAAAAATAATATATGTATGTATGTATATATAGTAAAAAAAAAAAAAAAGAACAAGTGAATTAAAATGGTATACTAAAAAATATATATATTTAACATTCCCTAGGATGATTTTAATCAATCAATAACAATAATAAGCGTTGGCAAAAGCAAACGATAACAAGGGTTGGCAAGGATGTGGAAAAATAAGAACATCCTGTGTATTGCTGGTAAAATTATAAAAAGTTATAACCACTTTGGAAAACAGTTTAGCACTTCTTCAGAAATTGAAACACAGGGTTACCATATGATCCTGCAGTTACATTCCTAGTCATATACCTGATGGAATTGAAAACATATAGTCCACACAAAAATTTATAAACTGAAAGTTCGTAGAAGCATTCTTCACAATAGTGAAAAAGCAGAAGCAACCCAAATATCGCACAACTGATAAAACTTAATGTGATATATCCATACAGTGGAGTACTGGACAGGCTTAAAGCAAGGAAACGAAAAGAATGAAGGACAATGAAAGAAATACTGAAATATGCCACGGATGAACCTTAAACCATTATGCTAAGTGAATGAAGCTAGTCACAAAAGGCCACATGTTGTCCGATTATATGTATATGAAATGGCAAGAATGGGCAAATCCATAGACAGAGACAGAAAGTAAATTAGTGGTTTCCATGGACTGGTAGAGTGGAAAATAGGCAATCAGTGGTAATTGGTATAAAGTGTCTTTTTGGAATGGTAAAAGTGTTCTAAAATTAGCCCTGATGGTTACAGAACTTTGTGACTATAACTAAAAGCCCCTGAATTGTAGATGTTAAAAGGTACGTTTTATGACACACAAAGAATACTTTAACGAAACTAATTTTTTAAAAAATTAATAAGAAATGAAGAAAGGCTGTTGTTATATATTTTACTAATTTGAAAATGATTTCAAAATTGCCCACATATAAATAACATGGTGAACAGCTATGCTGAAAAAGTAAAGATTAGAATACAGAGGAGGGACGCCTGGGTGACTCAGTCGGTTAAGCATCCAACTCTTGATTTGGGCTCAGGTCATGATCTCATGGTCGTGAGGTTGAGCTCTGTGTCAGGCTCTATGCTCAGCGTGGAGCCTGCTTAAGATTCTCTCTCTCCCTCTGCCCGTCCTCAGCTCATGCTTGGGCACGCTTGCTCTCTCTCTCTCTCTCTCTCTCTCTCTCTCTCTCAAAAAAGGTAAAGTACAGAGGAAACATTAATAATAATAATAATGATGATAATAAAAGAAGGTCTTCTACGTGGACTAACTTCATGCTTAGCAAATAAAAGACACTAAGACACTAATAAACGGGCCGTGTGGCAAGGCTATGGTGAAAAAAGCAGAACACAGTGTTTTTCTCACACAAAAAGTAAACGAACAGAAATCACAGCTTTGTGAGTCAGCAGGTTTAATAAAATATTTCTAGATTTCTTTGAGAACTTTGTTGTAATTGGTTGTGTCCTTTTGGTACAGAGCTGCCACTTTAAAATGAACGTGCTAGATTCTCCTCCATCAGAGGTATCTCATAGATGTTGGTTTTCATTCTACAGGTGCTTGTGGTGGGTTCCTGAGGACAGGAGATGCGCCAGCCTTTCTTTTCTCCCCAGGCTGGCCCGAAAGCTACAGTAACAGCGCTGACTGTATGTGGCTCATTCAGGCTCCAGATTCTACTGTGGAACTCAACATCCTTGCCCTGGACATCGAAGCTCACAGAACATGTGACTATGACAAACTTGTGATAAGAGATGGTGAGAAACATTTAAGTAAAACACAAAACTACCGAGTTTCAACCTTGACACATACAGAGTTACGTTCAATTAGAGTGATACTCATTTACTGCCTCCATCCGTTTTGTATGGAAGTTCCCTGACATTATGGTCAGTGAAGGCATCCCATCCCAGAATTGGCTACAATTTCTGAAGAACATAAGGAAAATATTAAATTGCCTGTAACAAACTAATGCACATACTATCTCAGGAACAGCATTATCTTACTAAGAGAAAATACTATCTTTGGCTTAAGTAGGAAATAATGGTCTGAGTTTCCAGGTGGTGCTGCCTTCTTTTTGAAAGGTCTTGGAGATACATTTTGATATTTTATACCTATGACCTTAAGATACAAGTGTGAAAAAAATATATGTATTATATATTATTATATATATTTATTATTATTATATATATTATTATAGATATATAATTGCTTATATTCAGTTCTCTCTGTCTACTGAATCTCTGGGTAGAATAGGTAGAATTAAGGGCTTATATTTTTTCGTTTTTTCCTCTATGCACAGGTGTGGTATGGCTATGTAATGATGGGGGTAAGAATAATGCTAATATGAAACATGTACAAAATCATGCTTCACGGTTCACAAAGCTGGAGGAGAGGCAAGCCATGTCCTCTGACCAGTGTTTCTCCCAGTGTGGTCGTGGGACCAGAGGGATCAGTGTCACCAGGGAAGAAATGTCAATCTTATGGCCACGCCCCAGATCTACCAAAGTAGAAACTCTCCAAATGGGTCTTAGGTCTGTGATTTAAAAAGCCCTCCAGGCAGGGGCCACGTTTAGGTTGAGGAAAGCAAGGCAAGATTATGCAAACTGCACAGTTGGATTCTGTCTTTGTTGAAAATGGTGATATTTTGATCATTTTACATTAAATTTCAGTTTTTTAACTATTGCACTAAAATATTATTTATCTTGCTTTCTGAGGTCTTTGGGACCTCCTTGAATGTTGCCCATGAGGCAAGTGCCTCTCTCACCTGACCCTTGTCCCTGCCTCCAGGTGATAATGATGGTCTCTAAAGTTTAAGAACCACAATATACAGACTTTGCGACCTCACATGCCTACCTAGACAAACAGGGGACATAACAAGGAAAGTGTTAATCTGGAGCACAGAGTTGAAGGGGCAGCTACTAGGAAGGCAGGCTCAGTGTTATTAGCTTCCTTTTTTTTTTTTTTTTTTTTAAAGAGATGTGAAAGATACAGAATTTTCTATGAATTTCCCAATTGTTAAATTTTGGAAATTAATGAAAAAAGCTTCAAAGCCTTTTCTGGACCAAACGAACATGTGCTTGCTTTTTGCCCACAGGTTACTAACATGTAAGCTTGTGTCTTCCTTATCCCCTCAACGCTAGACTTCCGCGAAAGGCAGTTAGGAAACGGCAGAGGTGCTTGGTTTTCCTTCTGTAGAGGCTGGACACTAACGCTCAAGTCAGTCGTACAAAACAGGAGATGATAAACCTTAACTTTCCCCCCTTTTCCATCAACCATCATCCAGCGCGTTGCTCAGAGAAATTGCCGTCTTTTCTCACATCAAGGCATTCCTGTGGATGTTAACATTTAAAACTTCTCATGTGATGAAATGAGTGTGTCCTTGCACACATATTCTGAGTGTTCAGAATATAGTAGAAACTTTGAAAAAATATCTTCAGTAGGTAACTGCATTAATGAAGTAAAGTGTGGCTACTCTTTCAAAAATCACTTTCTATTGAGGTGGTTTTTGCTCTACTGCTAAATGGCTCCAGGTCTGTTTTATCGTCTGTGAAAGAGAGACTGATACCTCCTTCGTGAGGCTGTTGTATTAGGGAACATAATAAACACAAAATTCCCTAGCAAAAGCCCTGGCATTTTGTAGATGCAGAATTTGGAATTGCTTAATTTAGATTTCAATTTACTTTATTAGAGATATTTCTAAAATAGGTTTCATCATATCCACTTTATAGAATGTTCTTGCTGAGGCATAGAACTTGGAGAGCTCTGCAGATTGACTTCTATGCCAAAACAATGATAATATTTTAAATTGGTGTGCAACCTATCCGAAGAGATTTTTATTTACAACATGAGTTGGTGCCGAATAGGTTCATTATTTCCTCATTTGTTTATTGATTCATTCAAGACGTGGTTATTGAGTGCCTACTGTGTGGTGGTTGGTAGGTATTTTGTTCATTGGCTCAGTGTTTATCTACATTTAGAATAAAATTTCAAGTCCCATTTCAATTATTTGTTTTTCGTTCAGCCAGGTTTTTCCTTCCGAGTAGCAGGGGTATATACCATCCTGAAGGAAATATCTAAAGCCATTAACCACAACCAATGATACTTACAGGCCACTTGTGCAATTGGCCAGTCATCACAGGCCTTGGGCCTTTGTCCCTTGGTCCAAGGCTGGCTGTGAATATTCTTGGGCCACTCCAGAGATGGCCCTGCAGCCTTCCTGGGAGACCTGAGTCACTCTCCCACCTGTTTATTCATTTTGCAGGCTGGTGATGGTTCAAGACTGAATCAATTTTTTCCAGACTATGTAACAACAAATTTTACATACCAAGATTCCCCAAAATTGAGGTTCCATGAAACTACATTGGACCTAGAAAAAATTAAAAAAAAAAAAAAAAAAATAGTGAAAAGGGGAGAAAAGGCAAACAAAAGAAAAAAAAGTCAAAAATCAGTAATCCTTTTATCTATTTATAGATATAAAAGGTACTTTGTGATCTTAGGGAAATCATATAATAGTATAGTTTGAGCATCTGGAGTTAATTAGCCAGGGTTTTAAATCCTTGTTGACTTCTATTCTCTATGCCTTCAGGCAAATTATATATCGTCCCTAAGACTGTTTCCAATTTACAAAATGGGGATAATAAAAATACCTACTTAATAGCATTATTGTGATGATAAAGTCTGATATTGTATGTAAAGCACTCAAAGTGGTAATAATAATTGCTCGATAAATGTCAGCTACTGGTAATCTTGGGCCCCAGCGTCCACATCTCTAAAATGAGGAGTCTGGACTAGAAAGAGAATCACCAGACTACCTTCTAGCCCTGGCTGTTTACCTTTGATTTTCCCCTCCCCTTAAAGATCGGATTCATGCCTGCTACCATTCATATGGTGAAGTCATGGAAGGCCCTAGACATACCTCCATATTTATTATGGATACTGTGGGGAGAAACAAACCATCTTATGGTTGTTGGGTTATCTACCAACTCATCAGTTAGGTGATCGCTAAGTAATTATTTAGAGATAAGCACTGTTTCATCACATGGTCTGAGGTGAAGTTTAGAAAAGAAATACAAATCAGTAGATCCTATCCAGTCTCACTGAGAGAGAAAATATGCACCTATGAAATAAATAACAACATACAATGAACTTCCAAATTTTGTGACATTGGTAATTAGAGAGTAAGTCCACCAAAACAATTTAGGGCAAAATGTGTAGCAAAATAACACGTGCAAAAGGAGTTAAAGAGAGAAACTTTTGAATTATAAAGTACCAAAAATTTTCAGAGGTCACAAACCCTCCAAAGAATACCTTTCAAGCCTCTCCTATTTATGGCTATACCATTGCATTTGTAATCCCACACACTACCTTGTTTTCTAGAGTAGTTAATACTAGTGCGTTTTAGGTGGCAATCAATGGCGGAAGGATTAATTTTGCTGATTGTTGTTTTACAGGGGAAAATTTCCTCATGTCTCGTACTCTATTTTTTGGTTTTTATCAGCTTGAAGTTTATTAACTATTTGCCTTAGGGGGAAAAAAAATCCCAGCCAAGGTATCCAAATATTTTATCATCTCCTTTGCTCCATTCTGGCTTTGGTTGTGGCTTTGTTCCATGTTGCTTATATTCAAGAGTCATAAAAAGGAAAAGAGCCATGAAGTGACCCAGTTGTCCTTTGCCTCTCTCCTTGGAGGGCACCCTGGCTGAAACGTTTCTCATCCTCCACAGGTAGACATGCGTGTGTTCGTTTAATAGCAACATGAATAAATGATATAAAATAAATGAAGTTTTAAAAGCCCACAAAAAACACAGCCACAACCAAAAAACTCTCTGGAGCTGAGGTTCATATAAAAGTTGCACACTTCTTGGCAAATGACCTTGCCACAATAGTACAGGATCTGCTGCCGAAGAGCCAATCTTTCTTCTCTTTCAGATACTGGACCTTCAGTGATCAGAGTAATTTATCAGGGTCTCTAACACACGTCAGCACTGGTCCTCCGTCATTCCTAACTCTCATGTGCTCCGATTTTGAGTTTTAGTGCCAGGAGGAACGGTTGCCCCGTTTTTAGAAAGACGGTGGGAACTGTCAAGGGAGACTTTAACATAAAGGGTAAAGAGAAAGGTAGGCAGTTCGATCATGAGCTGGAGCCAGAATGATGTAACCCCTGGAGCGTCCTTGTACTTGAGAATCTCATTATCTCTCAGGAATGGCGATGTTCTGTAAAAAACATATGAGCCACTTTGTCTGGGTTGCAAATGATGGTGGAGGAGATTCTGAAGGCGTTATATTTTCACGCTTGACATTTCCTTTCTTTGGCATAGGAGACAATAACCAGGCCCAGCAGCTAGCGGTTCTCTGTGGCAGAGAGATCCCTGGACCCATCCGGTCCACTGGAGAGTACATGTTCATCCGATTCACCTCTGACTTCAGTGTCACCAGACCGGGCTTTAATGCATCCTTTCATAAGGGTACTAAGTTCCATTATTTTTTATGTCATGTCATATCATCTCACCTCATCATCTCTCTCCCTTTCCCTCTGTCTCTGTCTCTCTCTCTCTGTCTCTCTTTCTCTCTCTCTCTCTCTCTCTCTCTCTCTCTCTCTCTCTAATATACTCTGCTTATTTTTCTATGCCAGGACAGAGATTGTAAGTGAGAGCACACGGGTCTCCGCCCAGCTTCTAGCTGGCTATCCCTATGCCAGGTACTGAGTCCTGGTCCAAAAAACTGTGGCCAGGATTGCACAGAAGGATTCCTTACCTTCAGGTCCCTGGGCATGGCATCTTCCCCGCAAAAGGAGGTGCATTCATGGTAGGCACAAAGGGTGACATCTTTAAAACAATTTTTCAGCCTATCTGAGGGCTTCAGCTAGAACAGAACTAGACAGCCCTTACCCACCACCCATCAAAGAAACAATAAGCCAGAGTCCTCTTCAATCTAAGAAACACCGGAAATAATATAGAAGGTATCTTCAGAAATCTTTTGGTTTAAATCCCTTATCTGAGGGTTGGCAGGAAGACTATGTTTCTCTTAAAATATGAGTTGGATGAGTCAGAGAATGTGCACGATATGTGGGAGGCGATCATGTGCGGTATGGCCGAGACTTTCAAAACTTGATAAAATGGGAAGTCCAGTAATAAATCCAGTAAACCCAAACTGGGTTAAAATTAAAGAAGCAGTTCATGGAAAATGGAACATTGAAAGACTCTGATGTTTTTAACCAAAGAGGTGTAATTTTAAAGTCGACTCTCGATATAGACATTAAACATTTATCTAATATTTCCTGCACTATTATATATGTCTTCTATAGAGTAGGGAGCAATGGAAGATAAATTATCTTCTTCACACTCAAGGGAGGCAGGTCACATGGCTGCTTAAAAGAACGGGCTTTGAAATCAGACAGACCTGAGATAAATTTCCACCTGTGATTAAGTAGTTGTATAATCTCGCTGTACTCCCTCACTGAGCTGTTTAGTCCCTGACAACTGGCAAATTAATCCCTGCTCCCACCCTCCACTCTCTCCTTCTGCTCCCAGCCTCTCTCTCATGTACTTAGGTATGACAGATGTATGTGTGCATGTATATATGTACATATGTGTGCATGTGCGCACGCACACCTACATCCTGGACAGCTGCGTATCTAGAAGTATTTCCGATTTAACATGTGGGACTCGAACTCTTGCTTCCCACCCTCTTCCACCCTCCAAAGCTGCTCATTCCACATTCTTTCCAATCTTAATAGACGGAAAGGGCATCCTTCTAGTTGCATAAGCCAAAAATCTTGATGTCATTCTCGATCCTTCTCTTTCTCTCACACCCTACGTCCTCACCGTCAACAAATCACTGTGATTCTAGTTTCCCAATACATCTAGACCCCAGCCACTGTACTGTCTTAGTCCAGGCTCTGTCATCTCTCCTTGGACCCAGGCAATCATCTCCGACCGGACACTCTGCTCAGCTTCTCTCTGCCCCCTCTTACAGTCTAGGTATTACAGACAGAGTGATGCTTTTAAAAATCTAAGTCACGTCATGCCATGCTGACGCTCCAAACCCCTGAATATCTTCCTCTGTCCCTCAGAATAAGTCCTTTCACTTCCCCTCCTGATCCAACCCTGCTTCCTTTGGGATCTGTCCCCGTGTCTCATTCATTCTGACTTGCATGATGTACCACTGACACATCCAGCCTTAAAGCAAGCGTTTTCTGAACCAGAATGTTCTTCTCTCGCAACGCCATCTGGCTTGATGCCTCGTTTCTCCGGGTCTCTCTTGAGGTGATTCTGTGACGACGCGACCTTCTCTAATGTTCCCAGACAATGCTGTACCCTTCTCCCTCCCCCTCACCTTTCTTTGTAGAATTATCCCCATCCACATATTATGTATGCATTTATTGTATAGCTTACTCACCTATAAAGTGAGCTTCATAAAGTGAATCATTTGCCTCTATTACTTATTTCTAGATCCTGATCTTAGCAACAACCACAAAATGAGTACCCTGTCGTGTGGGCTCAACAAATGCCTGCTGGCCTGATTGCTTCTTATACTTTGGTCCCAATTAGATTCAAACCACATTTCTATTGCCTATGCTTTAAAAATCTTCAGGAAAAATAGGGCAACATAAAAATCGTATTGCAAATGTTACTTAAATAAAATACCTTTGTTTTCTTGGAAAGGTTGTGGTGGATATTTGCATGCAGACAGGGGGATCATCACATCACCTCAGTATCCAGAGACCTACGGTCCCAACCTCAACTGCTCGTGGCATGTCCTGGTTCAGAGTAGTCTGACCATTGCTGTCCATTTTGAACAGCCCTTCCAGATTCCAAACGGAGATTCTTCGTGCAGCCAGGGCGATTACTTGGCGGTGAGTCGTGCTTCTCACCTTTTCGCATTACTATCTTTGCAGACTTCTTGCAAAAAACAAATGAATCTTCTCTCCTGGGACATAAATTGATAGGACTTGTGTGCTCTCAGCTCTCTCTGGATGAAGGGATTTATGCAATTTTGTTTTGTGTTCCTAGCTAAAAAATGGACCTGATATCTACTCTCCACCCTTGGGAAGCCATGGAGGAAACGGTCGTTTTTGTGGCAGTCGCCCTTCATCCACTCTGTTCACCTCAGATAATCAAATGTTTGTTCAGTTTATTTCTGATGGCAGTAATGGAGGGCAAGGATTTAAAATCAAATATGAGGCAAAGAGTTTAGGTAAGCATTTTGACTGAGACTAAAGCCTGTATTTTTCCTGCGGTTTCTTGGTTTTCCTTGTTTAAATAAATTCAAGGAAAAAAATATGTAAGCCTTTCTTTTCTAAACTAGGATCAATAATTTAATGAGAATAGCCACCTACTCTACCTATTCTAAGTACTACTTACTATGTGCTTGATACATTCACTATCTCATCATGGACTACTTTTTTAAGGAAGACATCATTCCCATTCTACAGATAAGAAAATGAGGCTTAGATTTTTCTAAGCCTTCTTATCAAGAGAATGAGCAAAGTAAATTCTCCACGAGTATAAATTAAACTGATGTTAAGGATACTCTGAAATTCCTTAGTCCTTGCCATTATAAAATGTTTAATTATAAGTTACGTTCAGTTATAGAAACATTGTAAGAATGATAATTACATTGTTTTATGATAATTTGTATGCTTTCTTTTAAAATGAACATGTATTCCTGGGATTCTGTTATTACCCATTTAATTATACATTATGGCGGTGGACTTTAACTTAATTACCTTTACTTAATTACACTTGATTATAATTATATTTAACTCTACTTGTAATGACTTAGTTTTATGGCATTTATTTTTATATAATGTTTAATTGAATAAATAAGTAAATAAGCATAGTTTCAAAAGAAAGAGTAATGTTAGTGGAGAGTAAATCTTTGCTTCTCAAAATTGGATAATACAGATTTCAAAATTTAGTGATAATTCAGGTTCACTAAGGGTTTATTTGCCGGTGCTATGACTCTTTTATTCCTTTGTGGGCCCTCTTTTCATCTAAGAATTGTATGGCCATGATCTTCTCCCCATCTTTCTGCCCTCAGTATTAGACTTGCAGTTTTTTGATTTCAAAATCTATTGTCTATTGCTAGAGGAGTGGATAAAGAAGATGTGGGTTGTGTGTGTGTATGTACACACATATATATACACATATATACACACCTATATGTATACACACACACACAATGAAGTATTATTCAGCCATGAAAACAGAGTGAAATCTTGCCATTTGTGACAATGTGTATAAACCTAGAGATTATTATGCTAAGTGAAATAAGCCAGTCATAGAAAGACAAATGCCATTTGATTTCACTTATATGGGGAATCTAAAAAACAAGCAAACAAACAAACAAACAGACTCTTAAATACAGAGAACAGAGTGGTGGTTACCACAGGGGAGGGGGCAGGGGGATGGGTGAAATAGGTGATGGGGATTAAGAGACACAAACTTCCAGTTTCTGGGAAACACCCGGAAAGAGACACCCAAGGACCGAAGGAGGAATGGCATCAGGTATAAAAGGAGGAGGAGAGCTCCGTGTCCCAGCAGCCGGGGGACAGAAATGTAGAGAGATGTGGTCAACCAGGTTAAATGCTGTGGATATAAAACAAAGATCAAAAAGATCCTTGGGTACACAATGGTGAGGCAACAAGGGGCACCAAGGGGGAAGGAGGAAAGAGGGCATTGAGGTCAGAGAAAGTGACTTTAAGTGACCTGAGCCCACGGTGAGTGGAAAGAAGAAAGGAACAAGGAGAGAGGGGTGCAGGAGGGGAGAAGGAGGGAGAGAGAGTGTGAGCACAGGGTAAGAGGAAGGCTTCCACATAGCATGATCCCTGGGGACACAGTGGAGTGCGAGACTGACCCTGAGCTATAGGAAGACAGTGTGCAGAGAAAGATAAAGAAGGCAGCGATGCAGATGAATTCATTTAGGATGGTAAAAATTGAAGGCGTTCCCATCTGATTTCTCCCATTGCACTCTAAAGGAGAACACGAGTTGGCATGCTGAGGCTAAAGAAAGAGGGGAGAATATGGGTTTAGGGCATAGAGTCAAGTCTCACATGGTTTTTATATCTCTGTGAGACAGCAGGGTTGCTTGGCCGTGTCGAGCATGGAGAGCACACATTTGTTGGCATTGATTTCCACAAACGGTTTGAATTGCATACAGTCATGAAATTGGTTTCTTTTTTTTGCAAGGTGAGTCTAAGGGAGGGGCCAAGGGCAAGGGTATTGAAGGCAGTCAGAGGAATCTGCCATTTAGGGTTTCAGAGACTAAAAGCATTCTAGGGAATGGCAAAATTCAGGATAGGACCGTAAGTGACTGAATGGGAGCAGAAATAAATAAATGCCGATAGCGTTTAGCAGATCAGGGATCTGAGGCTAACTTAGTAGGCTCATTTCATTGGCATTGTAAGTACCCAATTCACTCCGGCCTGGATTGTTTGCTGAGATTACCCAAAAATGATTGATAAAAGGAAAGTATTTTTACATAATACCTGGGTTTTTTAGAAAAGAAGTGTTAAAAACTCATTTATCTTCTTACAGAAAGTGGCTAACAGATTCTCTCATGTCACTCGTCCCTTGCTTTTCAAATGCATCTAAATCCTGCAGAAATATAATGAGTGAATGCCCACAGAGCTGTGCAATATTATATATATATTTATATAATTTGCTTAGTCTTTTAAACGTGGAGGTCACAGCTCTGCTTCTTTCTATTCAACTGCACGGTCAGTGGGAAGTCCTAAGTGCTAGTGCGTTCACGTGCTTATCTAAGTGGTGAATGTGTTTTAGTGCTTCGATGATGTTCTAATGCATGTTCTGTGCACCATCATCATTTTATTGGCCTTAAGGAAGGGAGAAATTCTTGGGGCTCCTGGGTGGCTCAGTTGGTTAAGCGTCCGACTTCAGCTAAGGTCATGACCTCACGGTTGTTGAGTTCGAGCCCCGCATCAGGCTCTGTGCTGACAGCTCGGAGCCTGGAGCCTGCTTCGGATTCTGTGTCTCGTCTCCTTCTCTCTCTGCCCCTCCGCTGCTCCCACTCTATCTCTCTCTGTCTCTCAAAAATAAATAAACATTAAAGAAAAAAATTTAAAAAAAAAAAAAGGTAGAGAGAAATGCTCTGCAAGAATTTATGGTTGGGCAAATTAAAAAGTGACACACTGGGTAGCTCCCTCAATAGCAAATTGAGTCTATTTGCTTAAAAAAGGAAATGAGGATAATTCTCGAGGAAGGGACGTTGAGATTGGAAATACAGATAAAGAGACTTTATTTTTGTTTGTTTGTGTTTTTGTTTGTTTTTTAATTGATTTTGAGAGAGCAAGAGAGAGCAAGGAAGGGGCACAGAGAGAGGGAGAGAGAGAATCCCAAGCAGGCTCCGTGCTGTCAGCACAGAGCCCTATGCGGGACTCCATCTTACGCACTGTGGGATCGTGACCTGAGCCAAAGTCAAGAGTCAGACACTTTGCCAAGTGAATCACCCAGGCACCCCAAAGAGACTTTTAAAAATGATAGTGGCAAGTCTACAGGTTATGCTGTATTCAGCATAGGTTGTAGCTACCATCTGCTCCATGCAACGTTCTTCTCTTACCATTGACTGCATTTCCTATGCTGTACCTTTTATCCCCATGACTTACTCATGCCATAACTGGAAGTCAGTACCTCCCACTCCCCTCCATCCATTTTGCCCATCCCCCCACTCCCTCCCCTTCGGCAACCCCTGGTTTGTTCTCTGTGTTCATGGGTCTGTTTCTGCTTTTGGTTTGTTTGTGTCTTTTAGATGCCACATACAAATGAAATCATGTAGACTTGTCAGATCACTGTCATACACCTGAAACTAATGTGACAGTGAGTGTCCACTATACTTCAATTAAAAAAAAAAAAAAAAGACACAAGACAGTACAAAAAGAGAAAAAAAAAAGAAGAAGAAGCTAGTGGCATTGCATCCTCTTTCTTCAGACTGTAGGTTGATTTCATTGTGTTTCTCAACAGCCTGTGGGGGCAATATCTACATCCACGATGCGGATTCTGCTGGCTATGTGACCTCCCCCAACCACCCTGACAATTACCCCCAGCACGCTGATTGCACGTGGCTCATAGCGGCTCCCCCTGGAAAGCTCATAAGGCTGCAGTTTGAAGATCAATTCCATATTGAAGAAACACCCAGGTATGTCAAGTCAACTCCATTTCATTTTTCTCCTACTCAGAGTTAGTTTTCTTCAGCCGTCGTGTTCGAGAATAATTTCTCTTCTTTTCTCGGCGTAGAACATCTAGGGATGGAAAAGGGACATGCATTACACCTCGAGCCTGAAAACACTGCCCGCCAGCCACTCTGTCATTAGCTGAGTGGATTATGTACACAGATATTGTTCCTCCTGACACCATGCACATCCTCCAGGAGACACTGACGATGGCTGTTTGAGATTGATGTTATCCATTCTTCCTCCCACAGGAAAAATATAGTGTCTCTGGTAGATGAATATTTATTTTCCCAGCCTCATACTCAATGTCATAAATAATAAAATGCCTGTTCAACAAATGGACATTTGTGTTACGTGACACTAGAGGTCACCAGTGTCGGAAAAAGGACTAACGCAAGGACAATCCAATTTCCCAGTCTTTCTTTAATGAGAATGCTTACGGGATTACAAACTGGGGAGTAAGTCTTACTGTGTTGAACACAAAGAGAATAACTATCCTAGCTGACAAAACCTGAATTTTTCTGTTCATGTAACAAACGTGTATATACATTTGCAAGAATATATGTATGAAAGAAAACTTAGGTATGAGAGCTTTTGCTTACCATTTATGGGCACCTGACACAATGCCACTGTCCTAGTCAGAGAGCATTAATTGGCTGACTTTCTTAAGAAATATTGGGTAAATACTCACTTTTATGGACACGGAAGATTCCGGCTATGACTCTCCATTAACCCCGGGTGGCAGGGCTGTCAAGAGAGAGAGTTCTTCCTTGTCATGTGACATGTGTCTCATCATCATGTGAAACAAAGTACTTGTTTTTTTTTGAAATTCCTGGGGGTTAATTTGAGAACGACTTTTATATTTGTAAAACAAGCACAGAATATGGAGGAAGATAAGAAAATATTCTTTGGTGTCGTACATGTAAAACCCATCTTTTTGAGCTACTAACAAAAGAACGTATTACGATTAGAAAAATAGTGTGCAGTATTCTGAAGTGACATATGATTTAAAATAACTGTCGTCGCGTCTTCTGCTGCAGAAATGATGATTTAATAATGCTCTTGGAGAAAGTTGGTGAAGTCTTTATTTTTTAAATATGTCAAAGCAATTGACTTTACATATTAAATGGAGTTTTCTTTCCACCGTAGCTGCACATCCAATTACCTTGAGTTGCGTGATGGGGCTGACTCAAATGCACGGGTACTTTCCAAGGTTTGCGGAACATCTTTGCCCAACAGCCAGTTGTCCTCAGGAGAGGTGATGTATTTGAGATTCCGATCTGACAACAGCCCCACACATGTGGGGTTCAAGATCAAGTATGCTATAGGTAAAAACAATTTTTATACATGGTAAGAAAGTTATGACAAACTAATTATAATAAAATATTAAAAACTCATTAAAAATTAGGGACACCTGGGTGGCTTAGTCAGTTAAGCATCTGACTTCAGCTCAGGTCATGATCTCACGGTTTGTAAATTCAAGCCCTGCATCAGGCTCTGTGCTGACAGCTCAGAGCCTGGAGCCTGCTTTGGATTCTGTGTCTCCCTCTCTCTCTGCTACCCACCCCACCCCTCATGCTCTCTCTCTCTCTCTCTCTCTCTCTCTCTCAAAAATAAACATTAAAAAAATTAAAAAGAAATAAAAACTCATTAAAAATTTAAAAAATTTAGAGATTTTGTATTTGCCTAATTTTAATAGAAATAAGTAAGAAATATAAATGTTTGAAACCACAAAGTTATTTATCAGTTTAAAATTTTACCTTGCTTTCCATTTTAAGACACTCTTTTTAGTAGACTTGAATATTTTGTATTTTTTCCTAACTTGTTTGTGAAAGCATATTCAGTTAAATCAAATTTTTGCTTTTTTTCCCTTTGTCATGACCTCTCTATCGTATTACTTTAACTAGTAGAACACTTTACTATTCATATATATTCAAATAACTATATTTAGAACAGTAACTTTGAAGTCATCACTAATGGAAAATGTTTTCCCACTAAGTCTCTAGTGCCAAATCAGTCACTAAACAAAAACAAATATGTCTCCTCAGTGTTTTGATTTCCTTACTTAAAAAATGAGCAATACACATGCTTACTGAAGATGTAATGTAATAGGGTCGCAATTACATAGAATTTAGTACTTGGTGGGTCTGAACACTAACCAAACATATTTAATAGAGTCAAAAGTTGGAAAGCCTTTTTGTAAGCCTTATTGAACCTACACCATAGGTTGTTTTATAGCCTGAGGCAAATTGTGTATAATTCAATGTAACTGTCACATCCAGCTGATAAGAAAGAATTGAGTAGGAATTTTCCAGGCCCTGAGATACCAGTTACTCCAGTGAAACACTTACTTGATAATTAAAGGGTAGGCATCACTAATCAATCACAGCACCCCTTCTAGTGGAGCATGCACTCAGTCTTCAGAATCACAGACACAGAGTCGTAGGCAGGCCCTATCAATCCATCAGTGGGTCCTTGAAATGAAACTTTCTTGCAGCTAACAGCTCTTACATCGTGTCCCATGAGGATTAATGAGATGTTACAGAATATGCCATTCACTTTTCCATTTCTCATTATTTGACTGGACCTGTGGTATCATTTCTTTTTACATCAATAGTAGATTTCAAATCATAAGGGAAACACTAACTTAAACATTTTCAGAATTTTTAAAGCATTAACTTATATTCAATTGGCATCTGAAAGTTTATAAATGCACTGGTTAAATTAAAAACAACAACAACAACAACAACAACGCTGTAACAGAATATTGTTCTTTTTTTGCAGCCCCGTGTGGGGGAAGAGTGACAGGGCAAAGTGGTGTCATCGAAAGCAGCGGATATCCAACACTGCCGTATAGAGACAATTTGTTGTGTGAGTGGCATCTGGAGGGTCCCTCGGGACACTACCTCACCATCCATTTTGAAGACTTTAACCTTCAGAATTCCTCTGGCTGTGAGAAAGACTTTGTGGAGATCTGGGAAAACCATACCTCTGGTCAGTGAAATACGTCTGCTGTGTTTTGGGGGTGTTTATTTTCACAGGTACTCATTCAACCTCTGAAGTTGCCTCAAGAAAGGCCAAACTACATCTATTCTTTGCATAGAAGGGCAGTCAGCTCGGACCTCTGCCAACTTTTCCCTCCCTGGGTTCCCCCTCATAAACAGTGGGTGTCCGGAGCCCCAGGTGTCCTTATATAGCTTATCTTTATAGGTCACGTTGAGAGAACACTGTATTGTGAAGACATCCTCTTTTTGTTGTGACTTTCCAGGGCCATATGCAGTTATTTGAGGGGCATCCTGTTGGGTAAGGAGAGGAGAGGGTGTGTATCCTAGAAATCACGTGAGTTGGACAGTTGTCACTCTGTTGACTGGAACCATCTCCTTAACCAAATGAGCTCTCTCGTTGCGCTGAGACCTCCTTGCCCTAACTGGTTGCAGTTTTGTTACACGTCTCCACATACTTGAATATGTTTGTTTTATTCCTGTTTGTCCTCCTCTCAACAGAGGTCACCATTTCTTCGTGGGCAGAGCCTTGTCTTTTATCATTTTCTTTGTACTTGTAGAACACCTCAAGTAGAGGTTAAATGAAATCAATCACCTGAATGTGTATATACTTAATTATTTGACTCTCACAGGAAATTTATTGGGCAGATACTGTGGAAACACCATTCCCGACAGCATAGACACTTCTAGCAATATCGCTTTGGTCAGGTTTGTCACAGATGGCTCTCTGACTGCTTCGGGATTTAGACTACGGTTTGAATCTAGCATGGAAGGTAAGTTCACTGATTTGTTAAGTATAGTAGATAATATAATAATATTAGTAATACTATACACACACACACACACACACACACACACGTACTCATCCTAAGAAAGCCAGTCCATTAGCCCCACAGTTGTCAGAATTGGCCTTTCTGAAATACTTTGGTAAAACACAGATTTAATCTGAAAAAAACTGGATAATTACAAAAGTCTCCTGAATCTTCTGACTCTTGAGATTACTACAGCCGTTGGTCTCTCATGCTTCTTGGGCCATGATGATAGAATACTACCAGTGAACTGTCATCCATGGAAACATGAATTAAATGTTAAACATTAGAGATAGGAAGTGAATACCAGCGTTCTCTGTTAAGTCATCACATACACATAGTGAAAAATAAAAGCCGTAATTTTAGTATCCTGTGGAATACTAAAGAAAATATTTTAGAGAACACTCCCTGTGGAAGGGGTCATTTTGATCGGATTGGAAGATGATTTCTTGGGTTTCTTCCCCTTCAGAGTGTGGTGGAGACCTACAGGGCCCTACCGGAACATTCACTTCTCCCAACTTCCCGAACCCAAATCCTCACAGCCGGCTCTGTGAGTGGAGGATCACGGTGCAGGAAGGAAGGCGGGTCACCCTGACGTTTAACAATCTGAGGCTGGAAGTTCATCCATCCTGCAACAGCGAGCGTGTGACAGTGAGTGTCTCCTTGCAGTCAGGGGTATCACATTCCATCGTTGAAGGAGCTTAATGACCTATCAATCGTAGTCAGAAAAGTAGGTTGGGAATATTCCCATCTGTGCAACTGTACCTCAGACACATGCTCAGTATTTTAGATAGAACAAAAATGCAGTAAACTGCCATGATATTTGTAAGACCTGTTTTAAGAGGCTCTTTGTTGTCACAAAATACATCAGGGTCATAGGCAGGATAAATTTTAAGAGCAAATTATCATTACACACGGCAAAACGGGCAAATGGAGAAAAGCTGAGCCCGTGGGTAGCACATAGCTGACTGGGACCAGAGTCACAGAACGGGCCACCACCAAAAGTTCTGAGCGATTGAGTGGTCCTGCAAGGTTACTGTTTTCTGCCTGAGGTACTGAGTGACTCCTTTGGAAGACCATGGGTGCCTGCCAAGGTCAGTGCTGCCAAGGTCAAATGCTTGGGGATATGCCGTCAGCATTCTTAGCTTCCCTTAGCAAAGGAAAACAAAGGAGACCCATGAGTGGGAATGAAGATTGTTAAATGACAGATACGCATGTAAACATATAGACACATACAGGATTAATTATACATTAATATTAATATATTTCCCTACCCAACTCGACCTTTCCTCAGTCCTTGTTATCTCAGCAAATAACAGTTTCAAACTTGGGGATGCTCAGGTCAAAAACATTGATGTCTGTTTTGGAGAACTTTCTCTCACACCTTGTATTACATGCATAATCAACCCCACTGACTGTATCTTTAAGGAGATCCAGAATCTAACTCCTTCTCACCATATCCCCTACTACAGCCATCACGGCTCACTTAGATGTAATTCAGTAACTTCCGGCCTGTCTCCCTAGTCCCGCCCTCGTCTCCCTGCACTTTCAGCACAGCAGCTGGTGTGATGGGTTTAAAGGTAAAGCACATCATGCCGCTCTCCTTGAAAATCCTCTACTGGCCTCTCCTGTCACCAGAGGAGGATCCCAGATGGTTACACTGGCCCAGCTGGCCCTATAGAATCTGCATCTCCTCTCAAACTCCCCTCCTGCCCACTAGGATCCAGTCCCACTGGCTTCCTTTTGGGTGCTAGAATGTTCCACAACCCACTGTACCTGTGCTACGGCCTCTGGCCTGCATCTCCCCGACGGCTGTCTGTTCACTGTCTCTCTTCTTCGCTGCTCTTCAAACGACCTGCTCCCTGCGACCCTACATTAAATCGATTCCACCCTGGCCCATCCTGCTCCCTGCATTTTTGCCTTCACAGCACTTCACACCAACTGACATTCCCCACGCATTTATTTGTTTGTCTGTTTATTGTCTGCTCTCCCCGCCAGAATGTAAGCTCCATCAGGATGTGCCCTGTGTTTCATTCCCATGGAGTCCCCAGTGCCTGGCACAGAATAGAAACAGTAATTATTGAATGAATGAATAGAAGCACTATCATTGTCCCCCCCCCCCTTTTTTTAAGTTTAGTTATTTATTTTGAGAGAGACAGAAGAGAGCACAAGATGGGGAGGGGCGGAGAGAGCAAGGAACAGAGGATCCAAAGCAGGCTCTGTGCTGACAGCAGAGAGCCCGATGCAGGGCTGGAACCCATGGACTGTGAGATCATTACCTGAGCCAAAGTCAGATGCTTAACTGACTGAGTCACCCAGGCACCCCTATCATTGTCCTTTTTTAAAGACAAGTCACTTTTGTTTTCAATTTAGTTGTCTCCTGTTGGGTAGTAGATTCAGAAATACAAAGTATCTTTGTACGTTACTATAATACTTCGTTTTGCCCTAAAATGATCATATTCAAGCTTCAAATTTTGCTTCCAGGTTCTAACACCTGAAGGATTTTTTTTTTATAGTTTAGCTATAATCCTTTATTTATTTATTTTTAAATATATTAAATTTATTGTCAAATTGGTTTCCATACAACACCCAGTGCTCATCCCAACAGGTGCCTTCCTCAATACCCATCACTCATCCTCCCCTCCCTCCCACCCCCCATCAGCGCTCAGTTTGTTCTCAGTTTTTAAGAGTCTTTTATGCTTTGGCTCTCTCCCACTCTAACCTCTTTTTTTTTTTTTTTCCTTCCCCTCCCCCATGGGTTTCTGTTAAGTTTCTCAGGATCCACTTAAGAGTGAAAACATACGGTATCTGTCTTTCTCTGTATGGCTTATTTCACTTAGCATCACACTCTTCAGTTCTATCCACGTTGCTACAAAGGGCCATATTTCATTCTTTCTCATTGCCACGTAGTACTCCACTGTGTATATAAACCACAATTTCTTTATCCATTCATCAGTTGATGGGCACTTAGGCTCTTTCCATAATTTGGCTATTGTTGACAGTGCTGCTATAAACATTGGGGTACAAGTGCCCCTATGCATCAGTACTCCTATATCCCTTCTAACAACTGAAGGATTGAAATGATCTGTTTTATCAGATATTAAAAATTATGGGGCCCCAGGTGTTTTCTTCTATCTGAAAGCCAGGGAATTTTGGACTAAGCTTGCTTATTTTATTTTTTTAATGTTTTTTTTTTAATTTTAGTTTTGAGGGAGAGACACAGAAAGAGAGAGAGTGAGAGAGTGGGAGGAGGGGCAGAGAGAAAGGGAGACACAGAATCCAAAGCAGACTCCAGATTCTGAGCTGTCAACACAGAACCCAATGCAGGGCTCAACCTCGTGAACCATGAGATCATGACCTGAGCTGAATTGGCTGCTTAACCAACTGAGCCACCAAGGTGCCTGTAAGCTTGCTTATTTTAAAAAAACATTTCCTCCCTATTAACAACTGAACATATAGAGGCAAGGTTGAAGTAGAAAAAAAAAATTAACCACTCGCAGTATATCATATTTTGATGTATTTTCTTGTCAATGAATATATCATGTAGTTGTAATAATGTGGCATAATTCATTTGCATGCTAATTTTCATCTATTTTTCTGATTATAAATATAATGGATGCCTATTGAACAAAATTTGGAGAGTTCAGAAAATAAAAAATATTAAAAATACTTGAATTTCAACCAATTAGCAACCAACCCATTGCTAAAATTCTGATGTATACAACAGCTTATTTCCCTTTGAAATTGTTTCCATAGTTGAAATATTGAATATAATGGTTATTAGGATGCTTACCAGCAGAATCTTCACATGCTGTGCAGGAAAGATAATATGAAGAGTCACAGTTTCAGAACTTGAATAAGAAAATAAAATTTGCAGCAACAACCACAAATTCTGAATCACATCTTACATGTCATTTTCCCATCTCTGAATCATATATGCCAAAGGTGTCTACTTCCAACTCTTTTAGCTTTTTCTTGGGTGCATATGTCATTATTTCAAAATAATATTCCTATTCTGCTCCTTGTTTGCTTTTCAGTCTTAAACATTATCTATCCACATGCAACCCTGGAAGATGAGGGTTGAGCTCTCTTCACAATCCAACTCCCTTAGCCCAAATGCTCACGGCTACGCACAATTCATAGCCTCTGCCAACTTGCTCCCAAAATACATATGTCACAGATTTTGCTTAAATTTCTCTTCAGTGTTTACAAGATTATGATTATATAGATGCCATTCCCAACCCAACTAAGTAATATACTATGGTAGCATTTTCTTGTTTTTTTCTGAGTAATAACAATAATTGTGCCCTTTCTAATATTTAGTGTTGATGCACATATCACTGATTCTCCCACACGCTCTCGCTCCTGGTGTACGTCCCCACCTTGTATAGTAAAGCACACCCACCAGTTCATTCGTTTTCCTTAGCAAAATCCTTTCTCCATGGATATTCTCCATGATGGAACCTTTCTTCATCAGCCACATGCCTGATGCCAGCTGTCAAATCAGACATGCCCTTCACCAGCAACTTTGCAAGCCCCTTCATTCCTCTTCTGGGCTGGCCCCAGACTCCATGATTTGTGCATTTCCATGTCTTGGCTCATTTCCTAGTTTGGTAAGGCATATGTTCTTGTATTTCCATAAGGATGTAGGCATGGATGTTAAGCTTTTTGAGAAGGGGTGTACCTAGAATTATCCTTATTTCACCATTGATCTTTGAATATACTCTCTCCATTAAAATATCACATGTATTTGATACATTCACTTATGTATATAAATATGTTAATCATAATTTTAAAGTTTTATGTTGCTTCCTTTTGGAAGGGTCCATTTCTTTCAAGTTCCTCTTTCCTATTTACGTATATTGAGTAGTCTCTGCCTTTTACATTAGATGTTTCCTTAAATGTGTGGTGATGCTTGGTTGCTTATTTATATTCAAGAATGAAGTACTGAAATGCTGCTTGGAATCTCTGTGTGCATGGGATTGTCAATTTATGGTCCTCATTGGGTGGGGAAGGGAGGGACTTGACCAGTCAATGAGGGGAAACTACAAATGTCCTGTCTACAGGTCTTTTTTTTTCCTGGGGAGGTTAAAATTCCAACAATACCTCTGAGAATTAATTTCTTTTATGAATCTTTAATACCATGTCCCCATTCTTTTTCTTCAAAATCTATTTCTATAGGTTCACTGTATGTTTTGTTTCCTCTTCACTCTGCTGTAAATAAGGGGATGTGGCTTGCCCGTTGCCCGTACCTTATTTACTTTGAGAACTTCTCGAAAAACGTGGGGGGGAAGCGAGAAGAAAAGAAAGAAGGAGAAAGAGAAAGAGAGAGATGGAGAAAGAAAGAGACAGGAAGGGAGAGAAATAAAGAAGAAATGCACTACAATGAGATATGTGCCTGATTTTATTCCTGCTTATAGCAAATGTTAGAGCTTGTCCTGAATCTCAAATGCCTACTTCCTGCCCCATTGTTTTCTGGGAGTTGCAGTTTCTGTGTACATATGTGAGTGGAGGAGGACAGTGGAAACAGCACTTTGGTGGCCTTTAAAAGCAGGAGCTCATGTTATAAATGGATGCCTGAACATTATCAGTCGTTGTGATTCTAAGCTCAGGCAGACATTGGCGCAAGGATAACCGCCACTGGTCGTGGTTTCCAACGTGTTCCATTAGGTCTGTAGTTGCTGATAATCTGATTCTGGCAAAATGTTGCCCATTCCTGTTTTCAGTATTACTGAAATTTTGTCATCTTCTGTTGCCTTCTACATGACTTCATGGTTTGCAATCAGAGGGACCATTTCAATCCAGTTTCATGATCACTAGTTGTTTGAACTTCGGCAAATTGCATAACCCTCTCTGAATTCTACTGTCTTAATCTGGAAAACAGGGATGATATTTTATGTCTGAGAGGGCATTGTGCTAATTGGATCAAGTAATACAAGTCGGCTATTAGCAGAGCCTGGTGCTCAGTTAGCAATAGGAAATGCTGTGTCTGGTCCTTTGAGTCAGAAGACACTTTAAACCAGAAGCCCACAGAGCTCAATTTCATAATCAATGATAGTAAATAAAAAAGCTCACACCGTCTGTTATGGAGTGCCTCCTCTTCCTTCGTTTCTGTCAGTGCCATCCTCTGAATCATTATTCTTAATTGTGAACGATTCAAATCTTTGTTAAAAACAGGAATATCAACTACTCAGTTAGTCAATTATTGTTTAGTTACTTCTGGATCTTTCCTGAACCGTGAAAACCAGGCAGGCTAAAACTCCCTTGGTCTTGCACAGAAATGGAATAATACTTTCCAGTTATTATAAGTATGTGCATAACTAGAATTATTGTTTAATATTTTGGAGTCAGCACTACTTGAAACCATTTTTTAAAATTCAAATTAATAAGAAAAGTGAGGCTTTGGATCCATAAGTACTTAGGAAAGAACTATTATATTGATTTTTTAAAGTTACTTTTCAAGGCATTTTTAAATATTTGAGTTATTATAGGCTTCAAATCATCAGAGACTAACATTTAAACCTTCATTCCAAATACGAAAGGTCCTGATACATTGTTAAGAAAAATGGTCCATCAGTGAACTCTGTGAACTAAGATGTAAGAGCGTTGGCCTGTCTAATTTACATTTAGAGCTTGATTTCCAGTTGCAAAGAGTACAGCAGTTTTTCATTTGTCAGCACATGGCAGGAGGGCTTTACTGTAATACTCTCATTTTAGTGAAATGACCCTGAGGCCACAGAATGTGCTCCGGGCAACAAAGTGGCTTGTGGCACTGGGCTAGGAGCCCGGACTGTTAAGGAATTCATTTTAGCACAGAGTTTCCTTAGAAGGAAGTGTATCTGGGCTGTGAATATAATCTCCCAGGAAATATTCAGTAAGATGGACTGTGTGACTAAAGGTTAAATGATTTTTCCAACAGATATTCAATGGCATTAGAAGTAACTCACCCCAGCTAGGGAAACTGTGTAGCAGTGTGAATGTAAGTGAGGAGATCAAATCTTCAGGACACAAAATGAGAGTCGTGTTTTTCACTGATGGATCCAGGCCATATGGAGGTTTCAGTGCTTCCTACACATCCAGTGAAGATGCAGGTAAGAGAAGACGTTATAAATACACCTGTTTCAATCATGGGCACCGCAGATGTTCACACAGCTACCACCAATAGCCGCCGAGCCGTCTATTTTCCCTTTCAAGATCAAAATTACACCTAAGAGCTTCTCCAGCAGGAAACACATATAACCAGGTAGAAAACCCATGCCAGGCAGAAAAAAAAAAAAAGTTATACTTTCAGAAAGAAAGCTGCCATTGTGAATTAAAAAACAATGCTGTTAGGAGAGCTTCTAGCTCAATCCCGTATAATGTCGCCATGAAATACTGGTTGCCTATTTCACAGTCCTTGGTCAATTATTTTCTCTGAAAGTGACCTTCTATCTCTAAAAAGGTAACTGACTCCCTGAAAGTGACTAATTGAAGATAGACAGATTTTATGGTTTCTTAGCCAGCCATCTGTATATATATTTCCAGTGTAAATGAATGAGGGTTCACATTGGATACAGAGTATTGAAAAATTATGCAAGATACGGCCTTTCCAGTCTAAATATTCTCCTACTTTCTGGATTGGTGCTATTATCTAAGAGTTTTAAATAGTAGAAAGAGTTGGAACTGAATGTTTAAAAAATCTTTGTTTCACTGATAGGAACATTCATTCCCATATGAAAAGGAGCGAATTCATTGGCACTCCCATGATGTTATTTGTTTGATGAAATAACAAGGCTCAAGTGGAGAATTGCTAATGAGAAGCCACTGAGACCACCACTGTAGTTAGATATTTCTCCAAATTAAATATTAATGAACAATAGGCTTAAACTAGGAGAAACAGATGCCCAGCCAAACCCACAAACCCACCTAATCTACCCTACAGGAAAATAAAGAAGCTGTTTAGTTTTACACATATTTCCAAACTCTCAGAAACGTCTTCCATAGAAATTCACACCAACTTCCATAGACACTCACAGAAACTCACAGAAACTTCTTCATGCACGAGCCAGCCCTTCACCCACAATCTTAACGTCATCTACAAAAACAAAGCAATAAAAATCTTGTTGTTATTTTCGTTGTTATTGTGTTATTTGCATCTTCGGTTATGGCCTGGACCTCACTGCTACTTTCTCTGTTGCCCCTTGTTTTCGTAGTATGTGGTGGGTCCCTTACAAATTCCGCCAAAGGAAACTTCACTTCCCCTGGCTATGACGGAGTCAGTAATTACTCAAGAAACTTAAATTGTGAATGGACTCTCAGCAATCCAAATCAGGGAAATTCATCCATTTACATTCATTTTGAAGATTTTTACCTGGAAAGTCACCAAGACTGTCAGTTTGATGTCCTTGAGCTACGAGTGGGTGAGTTCAAAGAGCATGTTCTCCCAGTTTATTTTTTTTTATATTTTTTATTAGAGAGAGAGAGAGAGAAAGCACATGCAGGGGAGTGGGGCAGAAGGAGAGAGAAAGAATCTTCAGCGGGCTCCATGCTCAGTGCAGAGCCCATCTCCAGGCTCGATCCCACGATCCTGGGATCATGACCCTGGGATCATGACCTGAGCTGAAATCAAGAGTGGGATGCTCAATTGACTGAGCCACCCAGGCGCCCCAACTGTTCTCCCATTTATCCACGGTATTCTTCTTATACCTGGGGACCACCAACAATGAAGGGACTCAAGTGCCTACAATGTATGTACATAGAATCCAAAAGAATGTTGGTCAGAAAAAAAGCTGTAATTCTGTGGACACCCAGCTGAGGTAACATGCTCTATTAACAGTGAGTTGGGTCAGTGTTTACAACTAGACTGGTGTTTCAATTGATGTGAGACTTACCCAGGAGAGATTCGGTTTGCGTGTATTCTCTCTCTGTCTCTTTTTAATGTTTATGTATCTATTTTCAGAGAGGGAGAGAGAGAGCAAAAGGCCAAGTGGAGGTGGGGCAGGCAGAGAGAGAGGGAGAGAGAGAGAATCCCAAGCAGGCTCCGCACTGTCAGCACAGAGCCCAATGCAAGGCTCCAACTAAGGGAACTGTGTGATTACTACCTGAGAGGAAATCAAGAGTCGGATGCTTAACCGACTGAGCCACCCAGGTGCCTCTGTCTGTTCTCTCTTCATGAGTTCAGGTGGTTCCTTCAATAATCTTTTAGTACTCAAGACTTCTTTCCTCAGAGACTGGGACTTGGCACGGTCAGAACTGTATCAGTGATTTCCTAAATTTACAGGAATTCTACTTAGAAATCAAAAGAAGTTTTGCAGTGTACCAGATGAAGAAGCACATGGAAGTTATTTGGGGAATTATCCCCAGAGGAGTCAAGCTTGTCTTTGTTTTCATGATGGAAATGGATTGAGGTTTACTTGGTAAACCATAAGTCTCCAGAATTTTTAAAAATCTGCATTCATAGAAGATGAATCCATTTTAGTTCTTTCTTGAAGTTGAGGAGTGGGTTATCCATCAAATTGCACCCATTGTTACATTGACACCCTTTCTGTGGTTTGGAAAAGAGAAATAAAGTAACATTGTAGATTGTCTATGCTATTTAAGGTTCACTGAGTTCCATGTCATTGCAAAAAAAATTTTTTTAAAGGAGGTTGAAAGCAGCAGAAAATAGTACAATTAGGTGGTGGCAATGTTCTACGGTGGCTACTGAAATCAATGCTGACTTTGAGACCATGTTGGACAGAATTTTCAGGGAGAACTTGATAAAGTCTGTGGTCACAGACCAAGGGACTCAGCAGGAGAAACATCTGGACCCTTCTAGGTAGATGAATCTAGAGGAGACTTAGGAGGAAAATGGAAATTGTAGTTTGAGAATGTTCTCCATGTGATTCTGACAAACCCACACCACTGCCACCTGGCTCAAAACCACTGGCTTATTGAATTAAGCAGAGTAGCTGTATATTAAATTTCTTATAGTCCCTCATTTTAGAGACAGTTAAAATACTATATTTTGTTGACTTATGCGATCAATAATACTGATCTGACAGGATAAAGAGAAGATTAAATGTGAGCTCTATAGGTGTTTTAAAAAAGGTTAATCAAATTACCATGAAAAATAATCTCCGTAAAAATACTCAGCTCTCTCAACTCTTAGCCTGAGTACTGAATATTCTATTCATTTTAGTTGATTAAATGCAGTGAAGAAATCATTAAAATTTTAGCTAATTATCACTTTTATCTTGATGATGTATTTTATCACTGTTGGTATTATATTTTTTACTTCCTAAAAAAAGGCACATCCAAAAGGTTTTCTTTTCTTTTTAATTAATTGTATCTCTGTTTAGGTATGCTAAAATAGTTATGAAAACACAAATTGGAACAAAATGGCACCTACAGTAGAGAAAGATGCCCATACTAAAAAAGCATGGGTTTTTTCCTTTGTTTTTTGTTTTTGTTGTTGTTGTTGTTTGTTTTTACCCTGTTGGAGGGACTCTTTCTTTTGCAGTTGACAAACATAGAAAGGAACTTTGTGAAATGGCAGCTACTACATCAGAATCTCGATGTGTGTCAATAAATACCTTGAAATGTTTTTTATTATTTGTTCCTACTGAATTCATGGAATGTCTTTCTCAAAAGCTACATAAATTATGGCAATTGGTGTATTATTTTGCTCAGGGGATGCTGATGGGCCTCTGATGTGGAGACTTTGTGGACCTGCAAAACCTACAGTGCCACTGGTTGTACCTTATCCTCAGGTGTGGATACACTTCGTCACCAATGAACGTGTAGAATATGTTGGATTTCATGCGGAGTATTCTTTTACAGGTAAGACTTGTGATTAAGCTCTCAAACTCTGGCAATGGAATAGTTAACAATTTTTCCCACAAAGATCTTACATCTATTTTGTTAGATTCATTTCTAGGTAGCTATGAGTTTTGTTACTAATGTCAATGAGATGTTCCAAATTACGTCTTCTAATTGTTTCTTGCCGATATCCAGGAATTTAAAATTTTTTATGCGTGGATCTTTAGCCCAGAGATTTCACTACACTCTTACTAGCTTTGGTATTTTGTCTGTAGGTTATCTGTGTTTTTTCTGTGTCAACAATCCTGTCTTCTGAAAATGACAGTATTTGTTTCTTTCAACCCCAAAACTTAATGTTTTTTCTCGTCTTATTTCACTGGCTATGCCACCATCACAATGTTGAACAGAAGGGGTGATAGCATCTTGTTTCTGACCTTAATGTGAATGCCTATGACCTTTTATTGTTAAATTTATTGATTTCTCTTAGGTTTTCAGTAAATACTTCTTATCAGGTTAAAGAAATCCCTTCAATTGTTAGTGTACTTTTTTTTTTTAATTCTGAATGGGTATAAGATTTTACCAACTGATTTTTCTGCATCTTTTGAGATGATTGTTTTCCTCCTTTAATATATTAATATAACAAGCTGTATATTAAAAGACTTTCTTCTCATTAAACCATCTTTTAATTTCCAGGATAAATCCTAGTTGGTGTGACATGTGTTTTGAACATATTACTAGATATTATTTGCTAATGTTTTTGTACTGGATTTGCATCTGTGACATTCTGCTTATATCTGAAAGTTCAACCCAAGACAGACAGCACTGTTCTTTGCTGCTTCTCTGGGCCATCAGAGTTTTTCTAGAGTCCCTTTCTATTAACATGGCCGTTCTTTTAGACCCTCAACATTATGTAAAAGTCTCAACTCCAGCCCTTCCTTTTGTGAGGTTCCAAGGCCGTATGTTCTTCTTGTGCAGGTGTTCAAAACCTCAGACCCATATCTCTGGGGCCCACACCTTCGTTCTACATCCTTTGAAACTGATGAACTTTCAGTAGAGGATTACCTCTCAGAATGTGAGAGGTATTCATTTCTGAGACAGAGAGAGACAGAGCAAGGGTGGGGGAGGGGCAGAGAGAGAGGGAGACACAGAATCCGAAGTAGGCTCCAGGCTCTGAGCCATCAGCACAGAGCCTGATGCGGAGCTCAAACTCACGGACCGTGAGATCATGACCTGAGCCGAAGTCGGACGCTTAACCGACTGAGCCACCCAGGCACCCCTACACTTAATTTTTTTATAGATTTTGGAAATCCCCTTTCTTTCTATTAAGTTTACCTATTAGTCAAAATACGTTTTGGTTATAGTTTTATCTAACATCTCTTTGTGTTATAATCAAACAGTTGATTGGAAGAGGGAGTAAAATTGGTCAACCACTTGCCAGTTGACTTTTCTTTATTGAATTGAAAGAAAAGAACGAGGTTTCAGGAAGCAGTATTATTCATGTAGAATGTCAGACTATCCTGTGTTTTAAAAATATATCTGTTCTTCAACTTGCCATGCTAATCTATACTTTGATAGCTGACCACCGACATAAATGCTTTTTATCAAATGAAAAATTCTTTAGTTATGCTATGCATCATATTCTTCAAGCTTATATTTATTTTCAGTGGCTTGTTTTCTTTCAAGCAAGGCAATGTTATTACACAGTGTGGGTTATATGCACATCTAATTATTCTCCATTTATGGTACAGATTATCTTCCTTCTCTTTTGTACTAAATATGATCCTGTCTTGGGACACCTGGGTGGCTCAGTCAGTTAAGCAGCTGACTTTGGCTTAGGTCATGATCTCGTAGTTCATGAGTTTGAGCCTCGGATCGGGGTCTGTGCTGACAGTGTGGAGCCTGGAGCCTGCTTCAGATTCTGTGTCTCCCTCTCTCACTGCCCCTCCCCTGGTTGTGCTCTGTCTCTCTCTGTCTCTCAAAAATGAATAAACGTTAAAAAATGGTCCTGCCTTCACTGTGTGATACTGTTTAACACTATATGGAATTCTGGTAATTTCTAATCTTCTACCCAGTTTTACTTTGCTTTTTCCACTTTCTTCTATTCATTTATTGCTTTTTTAAAATCATGGCTGTAAGACCTACTTACTTTGGCTTTGCAGAGATTTTTTTTTTCTTGTATCTAATTTAGAAGGTTACAAATCTCATTTCAGACTGTGGTGGAATACAACTGGGTGAGAGTGGCGTAATCACAAGTCCCAACTATCCAGCCTCTTACGACAGCTCGACTCACTGTTCCTGGTTGTTAGAAGCCCCACAAGGCCATACCATCACTGTGAGTTCTGATTCTGTTCTGGAACAAAAATACCACATCCTGTGTGGAAATGGATTTCTTTTAATAAGCAAGCAATTAGATTGCGTTTTGATCCTGCAATCAGATCATCATCTTCCCCAAGTCTTCTCTCGTTAGAGTACAGACATTGGCATCTCCAAGTGTACAGTTACTGAAGAAATCTAGTTTGCAAAAGCATAGGAGAGCATATATGTAGACAATGTTCCCCACCCAGGAGAGAAGTACAATCACATTCTTTTTTTTTTTTAATTATTTTTAACGTTTATTTATTTTTGAGACAGAGAGAGACAAAGCATGAACGGGGGAGGGTCAGAGAGAGGGAGACACAGAATCGGAAGTAGGCTCCAGGCTCTGGGCCATCATCAACCCAGAGCCCGATGCGGGGCTCGAACTCACGGACCACGAGATCATGTCCTGAGCCGAAGTCAGCCGCTCAACCGACTGAGCCACCCAGGCGCCCCTGCAATCACATTCTTGATGTGAGCGTCCAGCCCAGCCCACTGGACTGTGGCGCTCTCTCTAGTGACTGTGGTTCCAGGAGGAATACCTCCTCTCAAAATTTCCAGTAGAACCTCCAATAAGGAAAAAGAGAAGAGGGCAGGGGAGAATGAAATAAGAGACATAAACACAAAATTAGATAAATCAAAACAAAATAAAAAGGTCTGTGGACAACACAGAGTGCCTCATTCTTTCTTTTTTTCTCTCCTGCAGCTTACGTTTAGTAACTTTGATATCGAAGCCCATGCAACCTGCGCTTGGGACTCTGTAACCGTCAGGAACGGCGGTTCTCCTGGATCGCCCCTAATAGGACAATACTGTGGAAGTTCAAACCCCAGGACGATCCAGTCTGGTTCCAACCAGCTGGTGGTGATTTTTAACTCGGACCATTCGGTGCAAAATGGTGGATTTTATGCTACATGGAACACACAAACTTTAGGTAAAAGGAACATGCGTTTTTAATTGATCGGTTCTTAAAATTTATTAGCTAATTTAACAAGTATGCATTTTATGACTACTCTCTGCCAGACTGAACCCAGAATGTTATACCCGTGTCATCTCATGTACAATCTCGTAAGGAAGACACAATATCAATACATATTTTTTCCATTTCGCATGGATAGAAACTGAGGGTAGGTGGGTTGATAATTTTTCCAGGTCGTGAAGCTAACAATTGGTAGAGTCAGGATTTGAATAAAGTCACTGGGGCCCAGAAACTTTGATCTTAACACTTCACCATGTTGCCTAAATGGGCAAAAGGGCATGGCATAACCAGAGAATCGAAAATAATAGAAAATATGTATTGGAATCACATGTAGTTTGGAATATTTGGAGCTTGGAGGCAGAAGCTGGGTGGTAAGCTGAGGGCAGGAATCTAGGTGGTCCATATCACGAAGAGCCTTGTCTTCTCTGTTGTCCCGTGAGCGATGGGGAGCCATTGAAGAGTGTTGAGCAGCAAAGTGACAAGATTTGTGATTTAGAGTAAATGCTCTGTATGTGGCAAAATATAATAGATTTGATTTCAAAAGGGTAGTTTTTCTGTATGTAAAGTATGAACTTCATGGAAATTCCCAGAAAACATAAGAACTTGCACTGGATACTTTAGTCAGGATTACTTTAAAGCCTTGCAGCATCACACAGGGCAATTCTTTCTAGAAGAGTCAGAGTTATTATGAAAAGCTTTTTGTGGAATGAGTCAAACTTTATCTTATTAAATCTGTTGAAGTCATAGGGGAGTTTTAGATGCACCACTGGTTTTCCAAGGATTTAAAAGCAAAAGATAACAGGGAATACTCTTTAACTTAACTTCATTTTGTTTGGAATTCATATTTTTTCTTTTGTCATCTCTTAAGGACATATTTTAATAGTATAAAATAATTCTAGATTTTCTTTCTTTCAATCCATGTAATTTATTTTCATCCATTAATGTTTCAATATGAATGAAGCATATTCCTTAATGGAAGAAATCTATCCTCCTGAAAATCATTTTCTCTAGTCCTGGATGTTAGAGTAAAATCATAAATGAGTGTAGACTTGTATTCTCATGTGTTCGCAGTAACAAAATACAGAACGTAGAATTGTTGCTACTCAAATACTATATAGCTTCAAGGGGAGTGAAAAATAGTGCTATTGTTTGAAAACAGAATAGAAATCTATCCTTTTTATGGCAAGGATTAGTGGTCTCGGGTGAGTTCAATAGAAATGTAACAAATAACAGCTGAAGCTTCCTCTGGATTCAGTGCCCCTTACACTTATGGGGAGTTCTTGTCGCATACCTGCCCTGAAGGCCAGTGACTCACAGGTAAGGAAAAATAGACTGAACTCTCACATTGAGAAATGTGTCTCCTCTGGAAGTTTTGGGCTACTAAAATTGTTATTTTCCTCTCAAATTAATGACTTCTTCCGTGACAATTTTTCAGGCTGTGGGGGAATACTTCATTCAGACAATGGTACAATCAGATCCCCTCACTGGCCTCAGAATTTTCCCGAGAACAGCAGATGTACCTGGACAGTCATTACTCATGAAAGTAAGCAGTTGGAGATCAGCTTTGACAACAACTTCCTAATCCCCAGTGGTGACGGACAGTGTCAGAACAGCTTTGTGAAGGTGAGTGGGCTTGTTTATTTAATGGGAGCCGAACTGGTTTTGTGAACATAAACATTTAGACCAGAAATGATTCATTGCCTCTAGAAGTAAGAAAAAGACAATTCTGTTGCTTGGGTTTCTTGAATAAAAGCATGAAAAATCTCAATTATTTGGAGTTAAAATTTGAACCACAATACCCAACGTATTGTGACTTTTCATTTGCGAGTACATAGGCAAGTGACTTAACTAAGGACATTGTTTTCTGGCTTTATTAAATTCTTCTTGAGCGCTTGGGGTTCTTCCTTACCATGGAAACTAAAGAAAGAAGGCCAGGTTTTTTTTGCTATGTTCTTTCTTTCATTCATTCATTCGTTCATTTTTGGTTTTGTTTTCTAATAGACCCTCCAGGACAAAACAAATGTAAGGCAACATTTAAAATGTGCTATAAAAATGACAGAAAGCTAGAGGTGTGGCTGGTGTCAGCCCCCACTGTGGGCTTCAAGAGCCCACAAGCTAAGAAGAACATGGGAGGCTCACCTAAAATGATGGCAGTGGGGCGGTCAGGAAGGCTCTCTTTTTCTAAAGTTACTGCTTTAGAAAATCACTTTGGGTGGCACCGACCTCACTTCTCACTGATTTATAAATGTGATGACAGTGAGATAAATTCATTCCATCTGTGCTATTTTTCATATCATATGTTATATCTCTAAGAGACCTTTCTACCTGTTAATGGAATGGACATCGGCCTTAAGTTCACATTAGCCTAGACTTCATTCATGTCTCTTGCATTTACTACCTGCATGTTCTTCTGTGAGCTAATTACACATTTATCCTTAAATGACTCAACCTAAAAATAAAGAGAACAATTCGCCCTTTAGTGGGACTGTCTTAAGCATTAGTGGTAATATGATATAATAACACGAACAGTGCTAGGTACTTAGAATGTGAAACCACCTAATGAATAGCAGTGGCTTTTTACTGTTGGGTGTTATTATTTTACATCATCTTTCACATTATGTTTTATATCTACCTGATCCATGCTGTTTAAATAAAAATCCCATACTTTTATAAAATATGTCTACAATAAAACACATTTAATACAAGTTTTCCTAATTGCTTTTTTCATGGAACAAATGAACTGTCTCTCAGGGATTGAGTCAATAGGAAATGCATAGACATACATAAAGCCTTTCACATTCATCAGTTGTACAAATGGAATATGAAAAGTTATTTAGGCCCATTTCTCCTCTTTTTAAAAAATTTTTTAAATGTCTTATTGATTTTTGAGAGAGAGAGAGAGAGCAAGTTGGGGAGGGTCAGAGAGAGAGGGAGACAGAATCTGAAGCAGACTCCAGGCTCTGAGCTGTCAGCACAGAGCCCAACACGGGGCTGGAACTCATGAACCTCAAGATCATGATCTGAACTGAAGTTGGACACTTAACCGACTCAGCCACCCAGGTACCCCAGGCCATTTCTCCTCTGGACCAAACGGGAACCCCTCTGACCTCTGGCAAAGCCAACATAATTGGCAGGTGGAATCCACTGGGAGCCCTGCTCAAATTAAGTGGCCTGGGAAGCACTCTTTCCCTGCCAGGACTGAGCCTCCTGTTTCTGCCAGGAGACACTGAGCAGGGTGGGCAGAACCAACAAGAGGGACCAGCTCCGGTGAGTGATCCTTAACCTCACACCTTATACAAAAATTAACTCAAAATAGACCACACGCTGAAATGTAAAGTACATGCTATGTGCTTTTAGGAAAAAAAAATAAACAGAAAATTTTCAGGACCTAGAGATAGATGAACATTTCTTAGATTAAACATCAAAGGAGTGATCCATAAAAAGAAAAATTAATAAATCTTACCTCATCAATTGGGGCAGCTAGGTGGCTTAGTCAGTTAAGTGTTGACTTCAGCTCAGGTCACAATCTCACGGCTCATGGGTTTGAGCCCCGCATTGGGCTCTGTGCTGATAGCTCAGAGCCTGGAGCCTGCTTCGGTTTCTGTGGCTCCCTCTCTCTCTCTCCCCCTCCTCCACTCGTGCTTGGTCTCTCTGTCTCTCAAAAATAAATAGACATTAAAATAAAATCTTAGCTCATCAAAATTAAAAATCTTTTGTTCTGTGAAAGCTTCTATGAAGAGGATGGACAGACAAGCCACAGACTGGGAGAAAAGACGTACAAACCACCTATCTGGCAACAGAGTGCTATCTAGAATACATACAGAACAGTCAAGCCCAGCAGCAAAAATACAAAGAATCCAACTGGACTATGGGGGAAAGATTTGAACAGATATTTCACTACAGAGGATATACAGATGGTAAATAGACAATGGAAAGATGTCCAACATCACTAGCCATTAGGAAAAATGAGAATTAAAGCCCCAAGGAGATATTGCGACACACTTTTCAGAATGCCTGAAATAAAGAGTAGTCACAACACTGAATCCTGGCAAGGTGGTGGAGAAGCTGTCATCACTTACGCATTGCTAGCAGGAATGTAAAATGGTACAGCCACTCAGAAAATGGTTCAGCAGTTTCTTATAAAACTAAACATGCACTTGCTATAAGATCCAGCAACTGCCCTCTTAGACATCTATCCCAGAGGAATGAAAACTGTGTTGACATAAAAACCTGTATACAAATGTTCATTTCAGCTTTATTTGTAATAGCCAAAAATTGAAATCAGTGCACATGTCCTTCAACAGGTGAATGGCCAAGCTGTCACATACCTACCAGGGAATGCAAGTCCTCAGTAAAAGCAAACCAACCACTGACCCACTAACCATTTGGACAGATAACCATTGGGGCAGGTGAAAATAGCCAATACCCAAAGGTTACATACTCTTTTGTTCTATTTATATAACATTTTCAAAATAACAATACTTAAAAATGAACGACAGCCATAGGTTAGAAAGATGTGGGTGTGGGAGCAAATTGTATATGATTATAAAAGGGCAACTCTAGGAACCCTTATGGTGTTGGGATTATTCATCATCTTGAATGTGTGGTACATAACTGAACACACACACGCACACACACATGCATGAGTATAAGTAAAATTGAGAATTTGAGTAAGATCAGTGGACTGTATCAACATCAACATCCTGGTTATGATATTATACTCTAATTTTGCAAGATGTCAAGGTTGAGGGTCCCTGGGAAATGTGTACAAGAGATTTCTCTAGATCATAGCTTATAACTGCATGTGAATCTGTAGGTATCTTAATAGGCAATAATTTTGTTTAAGTTTATTTACTTTGAGAGAGATAGAGACAGTGGAGTGGGGGAGAGGCAGAGAGAGAGAGACGGAGAGAAAGAGAATCCCAAGCAGCCTCCACGCTGCCCGCACAGAGCCCGATACAGGGCTCAAACTCACAAAACAGCGAGATCATGATCTGAGCTGAACCAAGAGTTGGACACTTACCTGACTGAACCACCCAGGCACCCCAGTAAGGAAAATTTTTTAAAAAAATTACTTGAATGATAAGATATCATGTACAGCCAGTTGGAATTATACAAACCTTAACAAAAGTCAGAAAGTTTTTTACTTAATGACAGCTCTGTGACATTCTGTAGATCCAATATGGTTTTGATGAGTCCTGGGTCATCTGGGCAATGAAATGAGCTCTTGACTGACAAGGCAGCAATGAATATTGAATAACTCTTTGCCATTATTATCATTACAACACTTACGTCCCTGGGCCAAAAGGTAGGATGTCAGATCCATAATTAATGGCTTCAGGAAAGTATAAGCCCTTGATCATTCTTGAAGTTCTTAATTAAAGCACTTGAGATTCTTTATAAAAAGTTTTATCTGTCACTTTGCCTTTTTAGTAATACTGTAAAAATAGTGCATGCAAATCTCTCTCTCTCTCTCATTAAGTCATATTTATAATTTTTAAACATGTGAATAGAAAAGTTCTGTATACTATTTTCCTGGATAGTAAAGGGTCATCTTAAAGGATATATTACAGAAATTTGGAAGTGTGTGATTCTTTCCTGATGCTTTAAAAAAATTTTTTTAATGTTTATTTTTGAGAGAGAGGGAGAGGTGGGGGAGAGAATGAGTGGGGGAGGGGAAGAGAGAGTAGGAGACACAGAATCTGAAGCAGGTTCCAGGCTCTGAGCCGTCAGCCCAGAGTCTGACATGGGGCTCAAACTCACAAACCGCAAGATCATGACCTGAGCTGAAGTCGGACGCTTAACTGACTGAGCCACCCAGGCACCCCGTCCTGATGCTTTTTTTGATTTTAGATATTTGGCAGAATATCTGTGCCTTTGTTGTTAGTAACTCCCATGACAGACACCTTCTATATCTGATAAATGGCAACATAATTTGACTTCAGTAATGTAATTAACAGCTGGATACCCAGTGTTTGAAAATCACTGGAAATGATATGGCTTTAAAGAACTGAGAAATAGTAAATCAGTGCTATGAATCAGTTTTACTTCATACCTCTTCTTATGGACTGATCTGTCCATAGAAATAATTTTTAATGGCTTGTTATTTCTTTGCTTTCTTTGAGGAATATTCCTGAAAGTAATATGTTCTAAATGAATAATTTCATTCATATAATTTGATATGAAGAAAATGTTAAATAGTCAAGTAAGACTAATCCAAACCCATTTACCTTCTTGGGCTAGATAATACTTAGTTGAGGGTGGGGATGGGGGTTGTCTCGTGCATTATAGGATGTTTACAGTTTCCCTGGCCCCTGGCCCCTGACCCCTACTATGTGCCAGCCCCCACACCAAATGTTGCAATCAAAAATGCCCCCAGACACTGCCAAATGTCCCCTTGGGAGGGCACAGTTGCTCCTGGTTGAGCCTCATTCAACGAGGGGGATCTTCCCTGGTTAAACGTGTTGAATGGTCTCTTTTCCCCATTAACATATAGTTATTACCTAATACCAATATTTTCCTTGAGTCACCCAACATTTTAGTTGCTGTGATCTCTTGCCTGAACGACTGCAGAATTCTCCTGGAGGAACTCCCAGCATTCTCTCTTTTCCTCCTATTTTCCACATTGTAATGATTTTCTAAATTTTTTTAATGTTTACTTATTTTTGAGAGAGAGACAGAGACAGAGAGACAGAGCATGAGCAGGGGAGGGGCAGAGAGAGAGAGGGAGACACAGAATCCGAAGCAAGGTCCAGGCTCTGAGCTGTGAGTACAGAGCCCAGTGCAGGGCTTGAACTCACGAGCCGTGAGATCGTGACCTGAGCCGAAGTCAGTTAAGCCGAAGCTTAACTGACTGAACCATCCAGGCACCCTTCACATCATAATGATTTTCAAAAGCGTCCTAGAGCCTGTTTTCCACTGGCCCCTTGCCATATTCAGGACCTTAGCCTGGAGGCTTGCAGGGACTCTGCAACCCTCCTCACTCCTCATTCAGTTTGCTCTCTGTTCCTTGAAATAGCCCCGCCCCTTCCTGTCACAGGTGCTTCTTCAGGCAGTGACACCCTCCCCAACCCAGGTGAAGCCCCCTGTTATATACTCTAGCTAGCTCCATGACAGCTCCTTTCACGTTGGAACTCTGCATTGGAAGTGATTCTATGGGGGCAGCTGGGTGGCTCAGTGAGTTAAGTGTCCAACCTCAGCTCAGGTGATGATCTCACGGTTAATGAGTTCGAGCCCTGTATTGGGCTCTGTGCCAGTTTGGATGCTGAAGCCTGCTTCAGTGTTTCCCTCTCTCTACACCCCTACCCCGCTTGTGTTGTCTCTCTCTCTCTCCCTCAAAAATAAATAAACATTTAAAAAATTTTTTAAATGATTCTATGATTACTATTTTTCTCTGGTTAGGCTGGTTAGGATTGGCTCAATTTGGAATTTTAATGCTCACAATTTATTCCTCAGCAACGACCTTTCTCATGGGTTCAAATATGAATTACTCCTTTTAGAGTGGCCAGACCAATGAAATGACAGCCCAAGTCCACTTGGGAGTTAGGAACCCAGTTTTCGGTAAATAGCATCTCGGGGCCGAATCTCACCCTTTCTTCAAAATGAACCTTAAAGGGGCGCCTGGGTGGCGCAGTCGGTTAAGCCTCCGACTTCAGCCAGGTCACGATCTCGCGGTCCGGGAGTTCGAGCCCCGCGTCAGGCTCTGGGCTGATGGCTCAGAGCCTGGAGCCTGTTTCCGATTCTGTGTCTCCCTCTCTCTCTGCCCCTCCCCCGTTCATGCTCTGTCTCTCTCTGTCCCAAAAATAAAATAAACGTTGAAAAAAAAAATTAAAAAAAAAAAAAAAAGAACCTTAAAGGTGAACACTGCCAGGAAGTCTTCCATGATTTATTCCAGTTCATGATGATCACATGTACACTTGGAATTCATGTCCCTTTTCCTCAGGCTCTACAAATGTATTAATTTCCATGGGCTTCTTGGTACATGTTGTCTCCTTGCAGCCCACGGTCTGCCATCTACCCGGGACAAATGATAAGCCTCACAGTAGCACACATCACTGCTCTGTCTCCCTTGACACCTTATGATCTTAGCTAGATCAGGCCAATGAGGAGAAGGTAAGAAGAATATGAGTAATGGTTGATTTTTTTTTAGAAATCACTGCCTAGCTACATGAAAATGGTCAGTCTCTTTGCAAGGGTCAAGAACGGGATATCTCATTAAAAAGCAGCTTAAAGGGGGCACCTGGGTGGCGCAGTCGGTTAAGCGTCCGACTTCAACCAGGTCACGATCTCACGGTCCGTGAGTTCGAGCCCCGCGTCGGGCTCTGGGCTGATGGCTCAGAGCCTGGAGCCTGTTTCCGATTCTGTGTCTCCCTCTCTCTGCCCCTCACCCGTTCATGCTCTGTCTCTCTCTGTCCCAAAAATAAATATAAAAAAACGTTGAAAAAAAAAAGCAGCTTAAAAACACTATTCTCAAAAGAAAATATTACAGATTTGCATGTGTTTCATTTACTACCGTGTTTAGGTCTATTACACCCCGGTTCTGTGAATTTTCCAGCCTAAGCACATTAGACTATCTACAGGGGAAAACTTCAAGCATTAAGTCGTGTCTATGGCTCTGCTAGGTGTGGGCAGGAACTGAGGAAATGGACAAAGCCCTGTTAGCCTCGAGCTGTGGCAGTGTGGCTCCCGGTTCCATCATGACACCAAGAAATGCATTCACAGCCGTGTTCCAGTCTCAGGAAGCCCCGGCTCAGGGCTTCTCTGCATCCTTTGTGAGCCGTAAGTAGCCCTAAAAGCCAAACCGGGTGGGGCTGCCGCAGGCAGGCGTGTGGGAGAGTGGGGGCTGAACCAGGGTTGGCTGGAACTGGGGGTTCAAAGGGGAGGGGGTGGGGGTGGAGTCACCTGATCCTGATAGCACACTCTTCTTTCAAAAACCAGTGAGACTTGGAGCTGAATTCAATGGGAGGCCAACTGAGAGATGACGGAGAGGGCTTGAGTGCCACCAGCCAGTGTCTAAAAATGACCCTAAAACCCAGTGCGGGGCAGGAATTAGAGAAGCCCAGGAGGCTGGTAATTAGTAGACAATCGGTGTGCCTGGTGAGCGGCACCCTGGCCTCCATGGGAGTCACCCTGGGGCTTTTTGAACCCACTGAGTATTGGATGGTCGGGCCTCACTTGACCCACCGGAACTCACAATTTCTACCTGTGGAGACTTGCATGTTTTCACTCTCACCCAGATGATTCTCGAAGTCAGTAAACTTTGCGTCACTTTCTTCAGGATTTTCCCTTTCTTCTGTGATGACTACTCACAGATCAGAGTAGTGACAAATGCAAAGGGTTTCAAGTCTGAGAAGCAGTGATGTGTGCCTGCTGGCTGCATTCAGAGGAGTAGCCACTAAACACAAACCACTGTTTCGGAACAAGTCTGATGAAAACAATTAGAGAGAGTGATGCAGTGAATAGGTATTTCAGACACGAAGGAGACAGTGTGGTGGAAAGAGAGGAAGGAAAGGCCGGCCCGGGCCTAATTCCGGGTCCTCCTTCGCTTGGTTCTTGTGCGTGTGTGTGTGAGTGCATGACTGTATGTTTCAATATCCGTTTAGAAGGATACTGATATTTTCATATGTGATAGGTCAGGGAGTGATGTGGATTAACTAGTTAGTGGTTATATGCAAAGAAATGTCATTTTAGTGGTGCTGATGTGAAATGTTGGGGTCTGGGAGTGAACGGTCAAGAAAGAATTCTTGAGACATCTTCAGGGCGAAAACAGTGGTTTTATTAAAGCACAGAGACAGGACTCGTAGGCAGAAAGAACTGCACTGGGGTTGTGAGGACTGACTGATTATATAGTTTCAGGCTGGGAGGACGTTAGGGATAGCTGAGTCTCTAAGGAATTTGGAAGCAAGGTTTCCAGGACCTTGAGGGGCTAGATGTTGTTAGGATAAGGTCATTTACTACTGTCTAGTAAACCCTTAGTCATGAGACCCTTCAGATGTGTATCAGTGTGCCATACGTTTGCAGGATGATTGCTAACTTATATCTTGGGGAGGGTGGTTAGAAATACAGGAAGTTTCCAAAGAGGCTATATATATATATATATGTATATATATATATATATATAAAATATTAATTATATATAATAAATATTATATTATAGTATTATTTTATATTATATTCTAAATATATACATATAAATATAAAAAATATTTATTTATTTACTTATTTACTTACTTACTTATTTATTTATTTTGAGAGAGAGAGGGAGAGGCAGAGAGAGAGGGAGAGAGAGAGAATCCCTGTGGATTGATGTGGGGTTTGAACTCATGAACCATGAGATCATGACCTCAACTGAAACAAAGAGTTGGACACTTAAGCTTAACCAACTGAGCCACCCAGACTCCCCCAAAGAGATTTTTATATGTTAAAGGTGACTTACAGGAGGTCGGGGCTAATATCAAGCTAAGGTTACCTTTTGCCCCTAGCAAAGTATTACCATTGAGGCAGATGAGTTCCTGGAGGAAGGTCACCCTGCCTGCCGTAAGTCCTTGTCAATGGGCTGCAAGTTGTAAGCAAATTTGACTTTTTTCTACATTTATTTTGCCTTTGTTTTCCACATCAGTAAGAGGATGGTTCTCTATTTCTGACACCAGGGAATCATCCATGTGAGAATTTGATAAGAATTGGCATTAGTAAATTCAACATTTTTAAAAGCAGGCATTGCTTTTGTGGCCAGATTACAATAGTAATGAAAATAACATAGTTTTCTAATGTTATTATAAGATTTTTTTTTAATTTTTTTTTTAACATTTATTTATTTTTGGGACAGAGAGAGACAGAGCATGAACGGGCGAGGGGCAGAGAGAGAGGGAGACACAGAATCGGAAACAGGCTCCAGGCTCTGAGCCATCAGCCCAGAGCCCGACGCGGGGCTCGAACTCACGGACCGTGAGATCGTGACCTGGCTGAAGTCGGACGCTTAACCGACTGCGCCACCCAGGCGCCCCATATTATAAGATATTTTAAAACCATTAAATGGGGGCACTTGTCTAGCTCAAGTCAGTAGAACATTTTCCTTTTGATCTCAGGATCATGAGTTCGGCCCTACATTGAACATGGAGCCTCCTTAAAAAACAACAAACAAACAAATGAACAAAACCATGTAAGTGTACAAATCACTTCATCTGTTTTATGTCTTTATCTACATGAACCATATTCGATCTTTGCCCAGTTATCCTTTCCATATTATCTTCAAATTAAGTGATCTGCAATGGATTTTTGGTAAAATGTCTACTACCTAGCCCCAAACTCTGCAGCATTTTCTAAAACACATAGAATGTACTCATTTTGGCTGCATATGTATCTTAAAAATCAGAGCCCCATCCCCTTAGTTATTGTTTCTTTCATTTGGAATATGTCAGGAAATATGTCTCTAGAGAACTTGAGTCTTTCCCTCACTGATAAGATCCTACACGTGAAAACAAATGTTCTGATTATGCCTTTTTCTTCCCACATAGGATGTGGAGGTAATTTCACCAACCCTTCAGGTTACATCCTTTCTCCAAACTACCCAAAGCACTATGACAACGACATGAATTGCACCTACATCATCATTGCTGATCCTCTGTCCCTGGTCCTCCTGACTTTTGTGTCTTTCCACTTGGAAGGTAAGTTTATTCTTATGTAAATTACATTTAGATTCTTAATAAATGAATGAGTGATAAATAGAGCCAGAGGTGGTATAAATTCATCACTTGAAGGAAATGTTTAAAATGTTAGAGTATTTTGGGGGCACCTGGGTGGGTCAGTCAGTTGAGCATTCTACTCTTGATTTGGGCTCGGGTCAAGATCTCAGGATATGTGAGATCAAGCTCTGAATTGGTGTCTGCTGACAGTGTGGATTCTGCTTGAGATTCTCTCTCTCCCTCTCTCTCTCCCTTCCCTGCTCGTGGGCATGTTCTCTGTCTCTCAGAATAAATAAACATTAAAAAAATAAAATGTTAGAGTACTTTTGATGTAAACATGATTAAAATTCCATTTGGTATTTTAAGACCATATGTACCATTCTATATATTCCATCCAGATATGAAAAAAGTAACATAAGAGCTTAAGAATGTAACAGAAGCATCATACGAATTGCTTAAAGAAAAAAAAAAAAAGTCTTGAAAGGTAGCACATGTTAGTGATAGAGGTTTTTTTTTTTAAGATTTTTTAAAGTTTATTCTTTACAAATTAACTTTCCATTTCTAAATTATAATTAGCCCGTAGATTTGTCACGCTACCTCTGCGTAACCCAAATTTCTTTCTGTTTGGGTTAGTCTCCCATGCCCGTGAAAAGCTACAGTAAGCAAAATATGCTACAGTATTCAGCATTGAGGAAATTTATGTTTCATAAAGATAAGAATGACATGTCAGTACTGCTACATTGATAAATTATACAAAGCTTCTCTCACTTTATCCTTTTTCTATGACCTCCTTTTCCCACATCTCTACAGGTTGTAAATTTTGGCACATGTGTTTGCTAAAAAATGCCAAGTATGAATTGATGCCTGTCACTGTGAAAACGGAAAATGAAGTAAAATGTATCTTTTCAGCATTTGCTGGCACAACATCTCTGTAGTATAAAAATGTGTTCACAGTATGTGAAGTATTAGGGGAAGGTAAAACAGTGTATCTAAAATGATCCAATTTTGGGGCGCCTGGGTGGCGCAGTCGGTTAAGCGTCCGACTTCAGCCAGGTCACGATCTCGCGGTCCGTGAGTTCGAGTCCCGCGTCGGGCTCTGGGCTGATGGCTCAGAGCCTGGAGCCTGTTTCCGATTCTGTGTCTCCCTCTCTCTCTGCCCCTCCCCCGTTCATGCTCTGTCTCTCTCTGTCCCAAAAATAAATAAACGTTGAAAAAAAAAATTAAAAAAAAATAAATAAAAAATAAAATGATCCAATTTTGTATTTAAAAATAACATAAGAGACCAAACAGATGAGCAAAGGGAAAGGGAAGGAAAAATAAGATAAAAATAGAGAGGATGGCAAACCGTAAGAGACTCTTAAATACAGAGAACAAACTGAGGGTTGCTGGAGGGGTGTTGGGTTGGGGGATGGGCTACATGGGTGATGGGCATTAAGGAGGGCACTTGTTGGGATGAGCACTGGGTATTGTATGTAAGTGACGAATCACTAAATTCTACTCCTGAAAAAAAAATTAAAAAAATAGAAGTATTATAAGAGCAAAAATAATAATAACATGCGTAAGGCTATAAAGCAGTACTTTAAGAGTTTACCACTATGCATAGATTCATAGGTGATATGTATTTTCTTCATACCTTTTCTATTATTTTTATAATTGGGGAAAAGTTGTTCTAATAACAGGAGAAAAGCACGTGGCTTGGATTGTGCATTTGTTCTCATTAAATTACATAATCATAAAAATGTCATCTGCCAATATCATTTAGAATTAAAAAAGAGACGCTGGTAGATATACCATATACTATAGCCACAAAAACACTGCCAATGCCAATGGTATATGTTTTATGACAAAGGAACCCATACTGACCCCAAGCATCCTTGGGACCACTGGCCTGGGGTGGTGGGAGAGTGCACAGCATTTTAGAATGTATCCCGGGGCACCTGGGTGGCTCAGTCGGTTGGGCTTCTGACCTCGGCTCAGGTCCTGATCTCACAGTTCACAAGTTCAAGCCCCATTTCGGGCTCTGTGCTGACATCTCGGAGCCTGGAACCTGCTTCGGGTTCTGTGTGTCCCTCTCTCTCTGCCCCTCCCCCACTCATGCTCTGTCTCTGTCTCTTTCTCTCTCAGAAATAAATAAAAATGAAAACAAAATTAGAATATGTCTCAATGCCACGTCAACCACGTACTAGTCAGGTGACTTTGTGCAAATTAACCTTTCTTTCTCAAACTCAATTTTTTTAAAATATAAAATAGTAGTTATGAAACTCAAATAATGCTTGTAGAAGCCTGTTTTGTGAATTATAATATATCAGAGTGGCCACTGTTCTGTTATTTTTGCTGTTGCCACCATTCTGGCTCTCCAGATAGAACTTAACACGAGTTGCCTAGAACAGATACTTGTTTTTCTCAGATTAAGTTATTTGCTAACCCTCACCCCATTGAAAGGTTGATTTTCTTAATAAGACGATAGGCTTATGATAATGTCTTGTGACATTTCCAGTGTTGCAGGTACTCAGCATGTTTGAGTAATTTCCGGCTATAGATTAATTGAATTATGATGATTCCCAAAAAGGGCAACATTAATCAAATTTATCTTGTAATTAGATTCTTATCACTAACCATAGCAATGCTGACATTCACTGAATATCATTAACAAGCCAGATATTCATTAGCTACGGTAAAAATAACCTTCCACCTCTTCCAAAGTGAGCCTGAGGAATTCATGTTCATATGTTGTGATAAAACGGAAAGTTGTTCCCCTCAAAAAGCTGCAGGTTTATTTTTATTTTATTTTATTTTATTTCGTTTTGTTTTGTTTTGTTTTGTTTCGTTTCGTTTCGTTTCGTTTCGTTTCGTTTCATTTTTTTTTCAGGAGACTTAGCCTTTCTAGCTAGGCCAAAGGAACTGTTTCTGAAAGACTGTCCACATTTGTCTGAGCATTTCTGAGCCCAGCACATCAACAGAGCCCTGTTGACCTTGGCAGAGATGAGGGTTCTAGATCTACTCTTTTGGTGGGTCATTAGCATAAAAGGTAGATCTGGCAAAAATAAGATGGGCTATCCCAGACTACAAAATACAGCGGGGCCATATACTTGCATGTTGTATCTCCCAAACACTGACAATTGGAAGGCATTGTTAGGGAAGGTATTGCTGTTCGGGCTAGCATACTGATTACTCCACTGTACCCTGGTGCTTTCACCATCGGGAGACTGGAAACGTTCAGTGACCTACCTTCCACTACAGGAGGTTATGTGATCTTCTGTATTATATCATATATAATCTTCTATAATATATATTCTATATACTTACTGATGAAATATAAAAATTGCAGTGAAATCAATTAAAAGTCATGGGAAAAATTTCTGTTTGAGCATTTACAAGGCAACATTTTTTTTTTCCCTGAATGTCACCTCAAGATTGAAATGGCTCTTGGTATTCTTAACAGTGGTGTTAAAAGTTGTAAAATATAAAAAATGAAAACCAGGGGTGCCTGGGTGGCTCAGTTGCTTAAGTGTCTGACTTCAGCTCAGGTCATGATCTCACGGTTCATGGGTTCAAGCCCCGCATCAGGCTCTGTGCTGACATCTTGGAGCCTGGAGCCTGCTTCACATTCTGTGTTTCCCTTTCTTTCTCTGCCCCTCCCCTGCTTCTGTTCTCTCTCTCTCTCAAAAATAAACATTAAAAAAATAAAATTTAAAAAATTTTAAGAAGGGGCACCTGGGTGACTCAGTTAGTTGAGCATCCAACTCTTGACTTTGGGCAGCTCATGATCCCGGGATCATGGGATTGAGCCCTGTGTTGGGCCCCATGCTGAGTGTGGAGCCAGCTTGGGATTTTCTCTCTTTCTCCCCTCTACCTCTGCCTGTCTGCCTTGCTCACACTCTCGCTTACTCACGCTATCTCTTAAAAAAAAAAAGCTGTAAAATAGAAGAAAATTGACAAATTCAATATGTTTCTTTTGGTCAAAAAGGAAACACCAAAAACAGACAAAAGCTAACAGCAAAGTGTAAGAGAAAACTGTCAATGTTTGTACTTATTTTGGAATCAGATGTTCTTAAATAAATATTTATTTAATTTTCCCAAATATTGAATGGTCACAAAGTGTAGTTTTGTGTTTTCATTATTCATGTGCCCAAGGAGATGCCTCGACATTGGTGGGAAGATGACAGACCATTTATTTTTATTTTTATTGATTTATTTTCTACCTTATAGATGAGATACTATAGATGAGGTACCCTATGGCAAGTGAAGGCCTTCTATTTCTTGATTTTTTTTATCATTAAAATCAATTATAACATTGATTCACCTTAGTGAGAATGAAAAGTTTAAAAATTTTAACTAAAAAATCCTAAATCTAGGCAAAATATTTTTTCTCTTTTTTTGAAGTTTATTTATTTTGAGAGACAGTGAAAGCAAAGAAAGGGCAGAGGGAGGGAGAGAGAGAATCCCAGGCAGGCTCTGTGCTGTCAGTGCAGAGCCAGATGCAGGGCTCAAGCTCACGAACCACAAGAGCATGACCTGAGCTGAAACCAAGAGTCAGATGCTTAACCGACTGAGCCAACTAGGCTCCCCTAGGCAAATTCTAAATTCAGTTTTTCTCAGATCAGTTGATAAGAACTAAATAGTAGAGTAGCACAGAAATTGGAGACAAACAGAATGGCAAATGTTTTGCTCACTCTCCTCTAAAGATGGCCTCAAAAGGCCCCAAGATTAGGGCTAGATTCACAGAGTGGCCAGATGGTAGGTCCTTTGTAATATTTGGCTGAATTTTTAAAATTTACTGAGAGCTCCTGGTTTACAGGTCATACCTCATATAAGCTAAAAGAGAAAAGAAAAGAAAATTTAGTTTTAGATTTTTCCTTTTGCTCTTTTTCGCACAAAGAAGCCCAATGATTAGATTTTGTCAATTGTCTTAGTTCACGTTACCTCCTGCCATATAATCTAAGGTTTTATTTTTTAATAGCATTTTTCAACTACTTAACCAT